TAGCCTGTCTGACGGATCATTTGACACATTTTTATAGAAAATAAGTGCTAGCTAGATTGATCCGACACTTAGAAGAATGGTAATACTCCTCTTCAAAAAAGGTGACAAAACCTTGTTGAAGAATTATAGACCCATTTCGCTTCTGAGCCATGTCTACAAGCTGTTTTCGATAGTCATTACGAATTGTCACGCTAGCAGACTCGACAACTTTCAGCCCCCCGAACAATCCAGTTTCCGAAAAGGCTTTAGTAACTACCATATACCATAATAATATACGCAACGGCAGATTATACGGAAGACCCAGGAGTCTAATCAGCCACTTTGCGTTTGTGAACTATGAGAAAGCCTTCGATTCGTTTGAAACATGGGCAGTGCGTCAGTCTCTTCAACTGTGCCAAATTGACTATTGATACATTAAAGAGTTGAAAGGCTTGTACAAACACGCCACAGTGACAGTCCGTTTTAAGATCAGGACCCGAAACCAATCCAGTTGCAGCGAGGGGTGAGACAGGGAGACGTCATCACCACCGCCCTGGAAGATGTTTTCAAGCTTCTGGGCTGGAGCGGATTCAGCATAAATATCAACGGCGAGTACATCACCCAGACATCAGACGATACCATAGTCATGGCTGAGATCGTGGAAGATCTAGGCACAATGCTCGATGGCCTCAACAGAGTCTCTCAACAAGTGGGTCTCAAAATGAACATGGACAAGATTTAAAAATCATGTCTAAAGACCGTGTTGCACCCACTCCTCTATAAGTTGGAGACTCTACACTCGAGGTTGTTGACAATAATGTAGACCTGGGACAAACAGTCCAGTTAGGTAGGTCCAACTTCGAAAAAAAAGTCAATCATCGAATCCAGCTCGGCTGGGCAGCCTTTGGGAAGCTTTACGATATTTTCACGCGGTTTCTCCGTCGCGTCGCCACTCCGCTTTAAATCCACTTTGAATCCGCCAGGGTGGCAAGGGCCTTAAAACTCAGAGGCACACTGATGTTCAAATACCGTAGCCGAGTCCTAAAGCCGCGGTACACGTTCGCCACGAAAAGAGTGAGCAAGACAGCAATATCTCACTCACACGTTTCATGCCTTTTTTATAACAACTAGTCTTAACGCCCAGTTAATAAAACATCGAAACATTACAGATAATATCGCATATAAACAACAAAATTAAAATTAAAACTAAATGCATTCTGTCGAGAACACTGAGAATATTCCCGGGAGCGTTCTCAGTTCTCGAGAATATTCTCACTGGGAATATTGCCGGGAACGAGAACTTTCTCAGCGGCACATCTCTAGTCGTGTCCCATAGGCCATAGCAAATAATACCTACTGATATGGGAAGAACATTACTGGAAAACAATGGAGGTTTCAATTTTCATATCAGACAATACGACTATAACAACCCAGCACCATTCAATCAATTCTCCGTATTGGCGCGGATCGTCACTCTTTTATGATAAATTAATATTGTTTACTCATTCATTAACTAAATAAATGAAAGTGCCACTAACTAGGCGAAAAGGTAGAACGTCAATTAGATTTTAAACTGTAACAAGACTTTTTGTGACTAAGAAGTATGTACGTGTTAACTAGATAGTTTACACGTAGCTAAATGTTTTACAATAATTTGTTTATTGTATTAACATACCTACGCTTTAGTAAATACTCAAGTGTTATTGCCTCTAATTAAACTACAACCTTGGCAGAGACTTAAATCACAATAAAGTCACAGAGATAATGGAAATAGAGTAAATTGAAATCGTGTGACACCCTTTTAAAGTAGGTACTCTAACACCTTTCAAGTTTTTCTGTAGGTACCTATTTGCTCAGTAAATTAAAGATAGAGTCGTTGTGAATTTTAGTTTTTTTTATCTAAATGAATGATCCGCAACTCGTCGTAAGAGGCGACTTAGGGACTACACATCAAACAGAGAACGGGCAGCAGCGCTCCTGAAAAACATCAGTCTTTTAAACTGCGATCTCTAACCCGCCTGCCAAGCGTGGGGATTATGGCAAAACCCTCCATTATAGTGGAGGAGTCTCGTATAGTCCAGCAGTGGGTGGACTGTAAAGGGCTGTTGATGATGAATGCTCTATCTACATACCTAGTATTTATGCACCACGACAAGATCACAGATTTAACGGCCGTCTGGCTTGGTGGAAGGGAACCGAACTTGGATACCAGCAGCTACTAAAAACATCTTAGGCAGCTACGGGTTCGAATTCCGCAAGGGATTGCAACAATTCCATAGCAATAATAAGGTAATATGATTAACTTAATGATGCAATAATGCACTGACTATCCCCAAAACATTGGATACGATACCCATACATGACTTGTGAAGAACAAGGTGAAGAAGAAGATCTTTAACCATGATACATACGGAGCACCTAATGTTGTTGAGCTTCCTCATTTTTCATAACAACACTTCGCCAACTAAATGAAGTGTATGCTGTCTTTTTAATATTCGTATTGTAGTATTCTTCTTGTTATTAGGTATAGATTTATTTTTAGTAGGATTAGGTAGGATTTTTTTAAGGTTTTATATTACATCTTGACAAATAAACTATTACAACTTCAAATTTTGTAAACATTAGTCTATGCTAGAGTTTTGTAACTTTTTCTCGTTGAACATCCATCTTTGGAACGCACCAAAAAGTTTTGAAAACGAGCGCGAAAACTGTGCGTTTCGCGCGCGCGCGTTTTCTGTTACTTCCGCAATCAATAACGAAGGTCTCAGTTACACGTGTAAATAAAGTATGTAATTATTACCTTATTGTCTTGTACACCACGAGAAAGGCGATCAGATTGAACACATGAATAAATATTAAGTTAACTATCACAGTAAAAACTACATAAGCTTAAGTAAAACACACTTTTGTGTGTAAAATCACAGCTGTTTGGAGAGTTCGCGCCGCGTCTCGTGACTAGCGGGCCAATGACAGCAGCGGACTGATTCGGCATTGGATGATTTGACATTTGCGTCATGATCGTGTGACGTCACACACAGCAAAGATTACGCGCACTCGTGACAAGCGAATACGCTACGTTACGTTATGAGACAGGCATTAAAGGTGTTAACTTCACACATAAATTGAATGCTTTGAATGGAATTCCCCGTACTATTATAATCAGGGTTCGAAAATTAGTCCAGTCAATGAATGCCTTAACGACGGTGTAGAGAGAAATCCGTGGAACACAATTTCTAACCTCGGGACTTTATTTAGCCTAGTTAGGTGGTGAACATAGCAAAAGTCCCCGCCCTTAGCCCTTGAGCCGGCGGGGAGAGGGGGTTTTAAAGGTACCACTTTTCGGTTTTTCGCTTAATCCTCGGAAACTATGCGTCCTAGTGACATGACTACTATGAACCAAAAAAAGCTTATTCAATTTTCTACAGGTGAGACCGTCAAGTTTTGCTATATCTTGTATAGTTTTTGCGGCATCTGCTCTAGAAGGTCTGTAAAATTGTAAGTTTTATTGTTGTCTTACATGTTCCTTTCAGGAGAAAATCGAGNATTGCACTAAATTCCCTACTATGATAGATTTAGTCTAGTGCTAAAGAAAGGGTGTTTTTGTCAAAATACTACTGCTAATTACGGATATTTTTACACGTCATATTTGTTTTCTTGACATTTTTTGTTGCTTTAAATGAAAAACAATTCAAAACTTCCAAATTATACTAAATATTATACGTTAAGGTATTTCTAAACCATAAATTGTAATTTAATTAATTAAGATCCCGAAAGTGATTCCTTGATAGTCTTAATGATCTTCAAAATCACAACAATGTCGTGGAGATAACTCGAGACCGGGCCTAGTATTCGCCATTACATTACACTCACGACTAGTAAACATACATTTAATGCATTTACAATCGGGTACATTGGATACAATCGGATACCTCACTCTGTATTTATCTATAGCCTCTATCATTGTGATGCTGGCTGGCATAAGGGATAGGATTTGATAAAGACAATACCAAATCCGAAGCTAAACTAGCAAAAGTTACATACATGGTGAAGGTCGGCAGCTGGGCAGCGCTGCCTATCGCCAGGCGGAGGCAGGTCGCGTTGACGCCGGCGAAGAAGCCCTTCAGGCCTTCCGTTCTGTAAATGATGCGGCAGCCGTCAATCATTCCTGCAAAGGGAATGCTGGTGATGACATCCCTTTTTTGAAAGCATTTTACTGGTCGTCTCGTCATTGGACAATTCATGTAGTTTTTTAGGTGTCATGATGGTTTGTTACTCTACCAAGCATGCTCTAATGATAATAAATAAAATAAAAAATAAAATAAATGTCGTAAAAGGTGACTAAAGAATTTTTGAAAAGAAATCTAAGATAAATTATGCTTGTGTCACGAGTGCATGAGCTCACCACAATAGTCGAACGGCGGCGGATCACGAGTCGGCCAGTCCGACCGCTTCACCGTTCGGCTATTGTGGCTTCTCTGGCTCCTATAAAGCTTCAACCTGATAGATGATGAGTGTTGTCAACTACCCCATAAATATAATTATTTACCATTATACTTGTGCTGCCTTCCAACTGCGATGCTAGGATGAGCAGACGCTTGTATCCTCGTCTTGAGCACGAAAGCTGGGTTGCCGGTGAGTCCGCTCAACGCACCGCTCAGGCTAGCGCACGCCATCGCCTTCGTCAGCACCGTCTCGCCGCTGGCATCCTTCGTCCAGCCGAGCGTCTGCGTCGTGTGGTACCCTCCTAATCTGGCCAGGATTAAGGATTTTAGTCGGTAACAACCGATGTATTTAAAAAGGGAGTTACTTGACACTTAGAATAAAACTTATTCCCCTTGAAGAAACTGAGTAAAGATATAGAGCAGAATATGAATATAAACAAACTGGGTAGTAAGAAAGCATTCGGCTTAAAAATAGTAGACAATTTAAGTTATAATTTTAGTTCATGGTGAACCCCAGCAATTTAGCGGTAGCGAGCCCCCTTTGAAGAGCGAGGAGCCCGCCATTCTTCCCGATCATATACAGCGCGTGGAAAGTGCCCTTACACCGTAGAGGGCCCACGGCACGATTGCTAGAGCTCAAAAAGTATAGTGAGGATTCTAGAAGTGTAGTTACCAACTCACCTAACAGAGTTCATAGTGAACCCCAGCAGCATAGCGGGAGCAAGTCCCCTCTGCAGGGCAAAGAGCCCATCAGTCTTCCCGATCACATACAGCGCATGGAAGATACTTTTATACCGCACTGGGACTATGGTACACATTTCAAAAATCTGAATAGATAATGTACGGACTCACCTAACAGAGTTCATAGTAAACCCCAGCAGCATAGCGGGAGCGAGCCCCCTTTGAAGTGCGAAGAGTCCCTAAGTCTTCCCGATCACATACAGCGCATGATGCCCTTACACCGCAGAGGCACGGCACGGATTGCTAGAGCTCAAAAAGTATAGTGAGGATTCTAGAAGTGTAGTTACCAACTCACCTAACAGAGTTCATGGTGAACCCCAGCAGCATAGCGGGAGCAAGCCCCCTCTGCAGGGCAAAGAGCCCATCAGTCTTCCCGATCACATACAGCGCATGGAAAATCCCCAATATAGCACGGGGCCCAAAGTACACATTTCTAAAATCTGAAAAACCTACACGGACTCACCTAACAGAGTTCATAGTAAACCCCAACAGCATAGCGGGAGCAAGTCCCCTCTGCAGGGCAAAGAGCCCATCAGTCTTCCCGATCACATACAGCGCATGGAAGATGCTCTTATACCGCAAGGGGCCTTCGCCCCGTGCCTTCAACTCCCCTTGCAGTTGCATGCGGGTCTTGACCACGTCCATGGGGTTCGTTATGACGGTGGCACCAGCACCTGCTAGGCCTCCAATGATGAAGTCCATAATTTAGTCTGTGGATTTTGGTAGGAAAAAATACATGTGTTAAGAAATTTTGGCAATCCGTTATCTTTTCTAGCCCTTGAACTACTTGAAACTTTCAAGTACATGCGAATCGAGACATAATAGAAATCAATTGTTATCGCGGCCTGATGATCTGATGGGCTAGCGGGAATTGAATTTCCAAAATATTTCTAATGATTTCTGAAGATCAATATGATATATGACGCTCGTGTCCTATAGCAAATAATGCCTATACTTACTTGGAAACAAATGGAGGTTTCCATTATCATGTAAGTAATTTAATCTACAACAACCTATTGTGTGTGGGTTTGCACACTTTGCTTTCATTCAATAAATTCTCCGTATTGGCGCGGATCGTCACTCTTATGATTAATTAATATTGTTTACTCATTAACTAAATAAATGCAAGTGCCACTAACTAGGCGAAAAGGTAGAGCGTCAATTAGATTTTAAACTGTAACAAGACTAACTAAATGTAACTAACTAGATAGTTTACACGTAGCTAAATGTTTTACAATAATTTGTTTTTTGTATTGACATACCTACGCTTTAGTAAATACTCGAGTTATTGCCTCTAATAAACTACAACCTTGGCAGAGATTTAAATCACAATAAAGTCACAGAGATAGTGGAAATGCTGTAAATTGAAATCATATAACACCCTTTTAAAGGGTTCCCTACGTTTTATCGAAAGTCGTATCATCGAAGGTCGTTTCATCGAAGCCGTTTCATCGATTGGTCATAATCTCGAACGTACGAAATATCGAATGCCGTATCATCGAATGGTCACATTATCGAATGGTCGAATCATCGAATGTCTTAGTGTCGAAAGGTTGTTTAATTTAAGTATCAAATATGGCAACATGGAAGGTTACGTTAGGCTGACTTGCACCATCTCACTTTAACTGAGACAAACGTCAAAAATCTGTCAAACTCGATACATAAAAACACCGGTTATGACGACATAGATACAGTTAAAGTCAGGTGGTGCAATGCAACTCAGCCCAAGTTAGTTTAAACCCAGCTTTTTTTCCGTAACTAAATATCCAACTATCAAGTTTAATGACATGTGGTTAAGTATATGTATAAGTATCAAGAAAATGCGTTTTCAAACCACCAAAATAGTAAAAGGGCGGTAAAGTCACGAAAGTGATTTAAATTTAACTAGAACGTCAAAGTTTGATTTCGCTGTATGGATGTTTTTTATGCTGGGTTGCACCATCTTACTTTAACATTGACAAACGTCAAAAATATGTCAAACTCCATACAAAAAACGCCGGTTATGGTTAAAGTTACGGTCAAAGTTAGGTGGTGCAACTCAACCTTAATTTAGCTTGTACTAAGGCAAAGGCGTGAGTGCATCGTACAGCCAAGTCTGGTCGCCGAACGCTATTGTGTTATTCAATAACTATTTTCACTTTATATTTTTTTATATCGATGTCATGATTAACTCCCTTACTATTAAAAAGTTACACACTCGTTGAACAGTAGTATAAAGTGACATTTCCATATTAAACGTCACTTTAAACAAGTGTTCAGCGAATTTCTAACTTTTATTAGTTAGGTAACTATAATATACAACCTTACGACGCTAAGATATTCGATGATTCGACCACTCGATAATGTGACCATTCGATGATACGGCATTCGATATTTCGTACGTTCGAGATTATGACCAATCGATGAAACGGCTTCGATGAAACGACCTTCGATGATACGACTTTCGATAAAACGTAGGGAACCCCCTTTTAAAGTAGGTACTCTAACACCTTTCAAGTTTTTCTATAGGTAATTACTAAATTAGAGATAGAGTCGTTTGTGAATTTTAGTTTTTTTTTATCTAAATGAATGATCCGCAACTCGTCGTAAGAGGCGACTTAGGGACTACACATCCAACAGAGAACGGGTAGCAGCGCTCTCTGAAAAACATCAGTCTTTTAAACTGCGATCTATAACCCACCTGCCAAGCGTGGGGATTAAGGCAAAACCCTCCACTATAGTGGAGGAGGCTCATAGTCCAGCAGTGGACTGTAAAGGGCTGTTCATGATGATGAATGATCTACACATAGGTATTGATGCACTACGACAAGATGACAGATTGAACGGCCGTTTGGCTTGGTGGACGCGAACCGGACTTGGATAATGGTAAAAGTGCTTTTTTTTAAGCCTATTTACAGAAATAAATGAGTTTTTTAATGAGTTTTGATACCAGCAGCTACTAAAAACATCTTAGGCAGCTACGGGTTCGAATTCCGCAAGGGATTGCAACAATTCCATAGCAATAATAAGGTAATATGATTAACATAATGATGTAATAATGCACTGACTATCCCCAAAACATTGGATACGATATCCATACATGACTTGTGAAGAACAATGTGAAGAAGAAGAAGATCTTTAACCATGATACATACGGAGCACCTAATGTTGTTGAGTATCCTCATTTTTCATAACAACACTTCGCCAACTAAATGAAGCGTTTGCTGTCTTTTTAATATTCGTATTGTAGTATTCTTCTTCTTAATAGGTATAGATTTCTTTTTAGTAGGTTCATATATTGTAGGATTTTTTATTAGGTTTTATATTACATTTTGACAAATAACTATTACAACTTCAAATTTTGTAAACATTAGTCTATGCTAGAGTTTTGTAACTTTTTCTCGTTGAACATCCATCTTTGGAACGCATCAAAAAGTTTTGAAAACGAGCGCGAAAACTGTGCGTTTCGCGCGCGCGCGTTTTCTGTTACTTCCGCAATCAATAACGAAGGTCTCAGTTACACGTGTAAATAAAGTATGTAATTATTACCTTATTGTCTTGTACACCACGAGAAAGGCGATCAGATTGAACACATGAATAAATATTAAGTTAACTATCACAGTAAAAACTACATAAGTTTAATTAAAACACACTTTTGTGTGTAAAATCACAGCTGTTTGGAGAGTTCGCGCCGCGTCTCGTGACTGGCGGGCCAATGACAGCAGCGGACTGATTCGGCATTGGATGATTTGACATTTGCGTCATGATCGTGTGACGTCACACACAGCAAAGATTACGCGCACTCGTGACAAGCGAATATAGATGACCCACGCTGAACTGTCCCGCCAAACTCAATGACAGGGGGGCGCTACCATCGTTCAACTATATGGTTTCCAACATGGCAAAAATCTGAACCAGCGATCCGGTATTGACGGTGGCGCCCCACTGTCAATGTCATCGACAGGACAGTCCAGTATTTTGGAACTATACGCTACGTTACGTTATGAGACAGACATTAAAGGTGTTAACTTCACACATAAATTGAATGCTTTGAATGGAATTCCCCGTACTATTATAATAGACGGAATTTTATGGTTACAGTCACAAGTCATGACGTAATAAATAACCACTCCACACTTTAATGGTTTTAAGGTGCTGACATTAATTGCTAACAAGAAGTTTATTAGCATATCTGCAAATTACGTAGTAAGCTCTATACGAATGTATTGAAGAGAAAAGCGTTTGAAAACAACTGAAAGATCAAAGTGTGGATAGTAGGGAATAAGGGATACCTGCTAGCTGAAAGAGAGATTTACTGAAATGTAGAGCCGTAGAATTTCCGAAGGAACGTTCATTAGCCTCATTGGTTTGGAAAATTGCCATTTGCCTATTGGACATTATGTATTCTGAACTTTCACATGGAAATGTCTTTGATTACCCGACTGCGCCAGAAGGAGGGTTATGTTTTTTAATATAATCATACCTCGACTACATGCGGCACAATAAAACAAATCCCTATGACTAGTATGACCCATAGCCCTAGCAAATCCATACAATTACTCATGTGAGTCAGCTTGCTATTGAAAACACTTAGCTGGTGGATAGAGGGTGTGTCATTTGCCACCATTTTGCCACCGTCAAGTTCACGGCAATCACGCGTAGGACGTGAATCACTTCTGCGTAGACCTTCAAGGGCAGATGTTATCAGCAGGAAAGGTCAAGTGGCGTAGCAGACAGTGTTAATCCTTCAAATACTACCAAAACGAGACCCAAATGATATTCTTTTGGGTAGTTCACTCCAGACACCACCAATAAATTGACGTCATTACACATTTAGTAATCTCTCAATGAAACTGTCGTTTTAAACGTGCAGTAATATGAGACTACGAGACAAACTAAACTTAAGATAGAGACAGAGTGAAAGAACTCTATACATTTGTCCTAATTAACAATATCAATACCAGTGGTTGATAATGCTACATACATTGTATGAGCTATCTAAACACAATTACAAAAAACACACACACACACACAATTAAAATTCTGATTTCTGAGCGCTTCCCTATACCAATGCCCTTTACACACCCACAAAACATTTAAATCTACTACGTCGTTATCAAATTGTTCGAATGCTACAATGTCTTGGGTAGTATTTACTGACGTTATCAAAGTAACTAATCTGAACTCTATAGACATCGATGTCCACTAAGGTAAATAAGCTTTTAATGATCCCCATCAACACTGCCCTATTCAATTACTAATATTGACATTCCGGATCGGAAACAAATATCATTGGATCAATACATCCACAGTCGTAAGTAGGTATTATTGAAAAAAATGAGTACCTACTTATATCTTTTAATGCGTTTTTAGTCAGGTTGAATCTAGAACATGTATTATATGAGACACTATATTTTCGAGCTCTTTACTTAGCGGGCTAAGTAATCGCACAATCTTCAGTTGGACAGTAATCAAGTAATTGACATTGTGTAATCGTCAGTTGGAACAATTAATTTAGACAACCTTAATAAGATTAAGTTGACCTTACGCCCTTACGAGCATGTCAAGACAAATGCTGAGGGAGCCTATTGGCGCCGTGGTCCACTAACTTTCTTAAATGGTGCACACTGCCTTCAATAAAGTCCATTCTATTCTATTCTATGATAAGTAGCTATTATCTAAGTAAATGCAAAAGACGACAAATAGCAAAGCGATAACGAAATTTAATCTCTCATTAATGGTAATTTGTAGGATTGAGGGAGGACCATGAATTTTACTGAAAACAGGATTAAACTTGACTGAAAATTATTCAACTGAAATAGACACTGGTGACGTAGATAGAGAATGATTTCCATCACAAAAACTTCCTATCAATTTTGTTATTGATAATATCTGGACACGTGGTTGATAATATCTGGTGCCCTATTATTTCGTCCTCGATACAATCACGCGTATGCGCTTGACCCAAATATCCTTTTAGTTGTGCCACACTAATGTGTAGTAAAATATCGTCATTACGGACAGTAAGTGAGAGAAAATGTCAGGTTTGGTTGTTGTTCAGTTGTAATGGATGTTGGGTAAATAATTGAGTTCGTTGATTAACTGGAATACTGACGCACACTGGTGTAAGCACGAAATACGTTTTTAGGTGGTGTGATATGAATGCATAGTGTGTGGCGAGTTGGTGACACGAACATGAAGGGAATAACGATTTATTCAGTTTGTTTTTTAGGATTGATTTATGACTTTTCCTCTATTTCCTTACAAACTTTTCGATGACAAAAGGTATTTCTCAATTGTATCGTTTTAGATACGAACCCCTCGAGATGATGATATTTAGATTTCGCCACTTTGGTTGAAATCAATGAGCTCAATGGCTGAAAAGATAATGATGATGAGGTTTCGGGTGATGTGCACGATGGTTGATACATTTTTAACCCATTATAGCATGTAAAAAAGTTATTACAGGTAGACTCTATGCATTAATATTAGGCCTCAAGCAAAAAACCTCTTACGTTTATGAACTTCCTGAAGCAATCAATCTGCGAACTCGTAGTTAGCATTTACCTTGACATTAGAAGGTCTTCATTGCACATTATCACATTATACTTTCACATCAATATGCTGTATTTCCCATACATGGAAAATATACGTTTCCAATTTGAACCACCAGCTGGGCTCTCTCAGGACATGTGGTAATCGATGGATAATTAAGGAGCAAGGAGGCAACTCAAATCGATAATGTTAATCTGTATAATGATATAAAACACAAGTTTTGAAGGTTATTGACAAGTCACAAGTGGTGGGGTAGACATTAAGCGATGTAATTATTGAAAGTACCAGCAGCATTATACATAATTTGTAAAATGAAAAATTCTTTAATGAATCAATTTCGGGCTAATTCTAACTGTTGAAAGTCAAAAGAAAAAGGAGGTAACCATGGATGGGGGTTATCTTTACATTTCACCAGGAATCGAACTTAAGACCCGTCAGCTCTAGGATTTATTGAACCACTACGCTATCGGTCCAACATTAATGATGATTAGGAAATTCAGAAAAAAATAGTTAACAAGAAGACTGAAGACTGCAAAGCTTTAGATACAATGATACTTTGGTGGTGTGAATGTTTTACATGAAAAAAAATCACCCAATAACAGACAGTGTTATCGTCAGTCAGCCTGAAGGTCGCCCGATCGATGCCCATAATGACCGCGGTGTAATGACCACAATCACTAGTAATGGGCCCGATGTTTGTTTTCAGCGCTTAAAATTACGGGTTTCAGTTTACAACCCTTAGGTATGTAAGAATCAATAACCCTATGTGTATCTATCTGCCCACGCTGTAGATGAACGTGATTAAGGTCCGGTCAACTTCAAAAATGTATAAGACAGGTAAGTTTATGTAGGAATTGGATAAATTACAAGAACTATTTCAACTTGATTCCTGTATGATATTACCAGCCTCCTTTCATTCGATAGTTGCAAAACCTCTTTATTACCGATGTCAAAACTGACATTACTACAAGCTCCTGTCATGTCCAACCACTCATATAGATGACCCACGCTGAACTGTCCCGCCAAACTCAATGACAGGGGGGCGCTACCATCGTTCAACTATATGGTTTCCAACATGGCAAAAATCTGAACCAGCGATCCGGTATTGACGGTGGCGCCCCACTGTCAATGTCATCGACAGGACAGTCCAGTATTTTGGAACTATATTTCCCGAAGTATAGAAAAAGTGAGTTCATTTATCAATACTGATGGTTATCAGACCGAGGAGTGAGCCGCGTGACAATCGCTCGGGACAGTGCGTCGCTGCAGCGTAGCCAAGCGGTCGGGTCCGCCCAGCGTCACGCGCCTGCCGCCCAGCGGCCGCCACGCCGCCCAAGGCCGCCCGCCCCTGTCGGCGGCCGGCCGCGCGCGCCATCGCACGCCCCATGCTCCCCGACGCACTTGCGCCGCTCGATCCGCGCAAAACACGCGCTCTCACCACCATATACGCGCCGCGGAAACTTAGCACCCGGAAAAACAGAACGGCGCAAACGAGAATGCTCGAAAACGATCTCCCGATCAAAACGAACCTATCCCCTTTCCATCCTTTGCCCGCGATCGGAAAAACAGAGAAAACTAAACCAAAAGTTATACTTTTCGACTTGGATAAGAATGAAAGGACAGATCTGCAGCACACTCCTATGAAACTCCACGATATGTTGAAGCCATTGACACCTTTAAGGATACACGGATTCGTCAGGAAAAGCTCATTGGAACACCTGGACAAAAAACCGCAGCAGCTTATGAGAGAGAACACTTACGATGTGATAGAGCCGATCTATTTGAACTCTGTGAAGGTTAAGAAACGGGATACGTCTATACCGAGGAGGAAGCTGACGCCGAAGAAAGAGGAGGAATCGGAGAGCATTGAGGAACCAAAGCCTTCGCCGAAGACGAGATTCAAAAAAGCAGCGATGCAAGTTGCAAAGTTGTCGTCGATGCCCGAGACGGGGAAACTACTGTCTTTAAGGGAGAGACAAACATTCAACTTTTGTATAAAAGAGGAGGATAAGTCCACGTGCAAATTGCAGGAGTTACCACGGAGTCCGTCGCAGAACTTAAATAAGCTCTCTGAAATTTTCCAAACCCTGGAAATGAAGGGAAGGCATAGAGATAAGATGAAGAAAGAAAACAGTTGGTTTTAATTTTAACTTTAGATTAAGAGAGTTGATTTATTTACGTGTTATTCTAGAAGAGGTTTAAGAATTTATTGAAGAAGAGAACAATTTAAGTGATAATGTGTTAAGAGCTTATTTTTGTTGAACGTTGAAAAGTTTATGTATACGAAGATATTCATATTGCTCAAAGTTTTGGTGTTGTGGACTGTGTAACTTACGTCGATGTTTTAATAAAGTGTGACAATTTGATAAATTGATGGAATTTTATTAAGTCAGGATTTTCACAATCATATTTCATCAATCACTTCATAATCGAATTATTATAATTCAATTCTTGACCATCATTAACTCGTAGAAAACTATGAACTGAAATGGAAAAAGTATCCTATGACCTTTATAGGTTTGCCCTTGAACTGAAGCCCATCCAATTCATTTAAGATGGTAAAGGAAAGAAATAATACTAAATAATGAATTATTATTTGCATTAGAATCATAGTTTAAAGATATACTTTCAAGGGATTACAGATAACATAGTATCACGATGCTCGTATTTGATCGTTACATAAAATTCATTTAAAAAACTTAGTAGGTAATTTCAATTCATTCATTACTTCAACAAACAAACATAAAAACGTAAAAACTCGACAATAACATAATATAGGTCTCGTACTCTGATGTTGGTGATTTAATGCAAATTAGTGAAATGATACCACACATCAATTCGGTAAGCGCAAAATATTCAGAACTAAATATAATTTTTCCGAATCATCAGACAGTTGAGGTTAAAATTTCGATGCGATAAAGAATTAATTCAAATAAAAGTAGATGCTTACAAAATTTCTAGCGGGTTTACATACAAGTACATTAATAAAGCTATTAGATTGGTAGTTCCAATCCATTTGTATATGAAAGTTTAAGCAAGTTTGTACGCAAGTTACGAGTCAGTATGTTTCCAGAATGTGTTTACTTTTCTAAGCTGTAATTGGGTTCTCCATTAGCCTACCGAACCGAACCCTTAAGTGTTAGGTAACCTCGAGAAAGCCCTGCCTTGCCCTTGGCTAGTTTGTCAACAAGTGGGCACATCGCGTGCTGAGCTTTAAGCTTTAAGCTCCTTACGGTGTGTAATTAGCTGCAAGTATGCTTGTATTATAAAGCTGGAATTTATGTATTCTACTTTACTAACATTTGCATACCGCTACAGGCTATGAATGGGTTTCGGTTGTTGGATGCAACTTTGGGTTCGGGTTTGGGTAAAACGGACTACAAAGTCGGGTTCGAATCCCACTTGGAGCTAATGTGATGAGCTCAGATCATAGAAGGGATAAATAAATAATAAATAAATAAATTCTTTATTGAATAACTTATTGACAGTTTTTAACAATAGGCTAATATTAAACTATAATAGGTAAAAGTACATACGTGCCTGAACTAAGAATTTTATTATAATTCCTGTATCTCAGGCAAAAAAAGGCTTACATTACTTTATTAATATAACTATTTCTAGCAAAATGTGATGATGACCTTCTATGATCTGAGGTGATGAGTTTTCTGAGGACCTAGTTATCTTGTTGTGACCATAGTGAAATCTCTTTTAGGGACAGGTAAAAAAACTAAAGTCAATGACTGTTACTCATAAAGGGTGAGTAGTAACTATATAAACTAAGTATAGCTTCGTTTAACTTACGAATACGAGTAGATAATATTGTTTTAACTACCTGACATTTCACACTTACGAAAGCAAAAGATGGTGAGAAGAGCTGGTTTGATGAAGGAGGCGGAAAGTAGCCTTTGAAAATTCGTGCCTTTTAAGACGATCAATTATTTTAATACTAACACCCTAAGCTAGGATTTCGGTGACCAAACTAATGACTGACAAAAATATGCTGTATCATCTAGCTAGGGTCGAATGTCGTTGGTTTACTTTCTAACCAAAGGCACCTACTATCTTTTCACTTATTGGTAGTTTAGGTTTACTTTACGTTTGTTGTCAAGAATCCATAATTGTTTTGCAGAGTTCAATGCGCGGTAAACAGGCTTTTGAAGCTGGTGAATAAAATTGGTTTTCATTACATTTTAACCGTATCATTTAACCAAATACAACTATTGTGTTATTTATGGAACAACAACCGCGGTAGCAGCAGTAACACTTTGTCAATTGAAGGTCTAAGCAGGGTACCGCTAGTTATAGAATTTTATAGAAATGACTATGAGAGAAGAGAGCCCTACACGGAACGCAGTAGACAGAAAAATTCTGCAAAACTATGTAGCCAGGGTGCCCACAAAATTAAGCTTAACTGGAGAGTTCGAAGTGAATATAATGCCCAAGGGTTGACTGGAAAAGAATGCCAAATGGCATTAAGTTCGCCTTTTGTATTTCGATATATTGTGCAATTAAGTTTGTAAATAATATCGATATCGGAAACAAGAGATAATAGAGGAATAAGGAATCATTCCACTCTTCCGAAAAATACGAGAAGAATCACTTGCATACTTACTTTATTTTTTACCAAATCTTATCTGATGAAAAGTGATGAGAAATACAAATTAAAGAGGACTAATCATGTTGTGAGTTAATAAACAAAAAATGTATGCCAGTATTAAATTAAAAATTGGTGGATACAGTTCCAAATTCCACATTGTGGTCTCTTGATGACAAAAGGCTTGGATTAGGTAGGTACTCCATTAGAATGGTTATGATGGTCATACGTGGAAACAGACTATCATACCCGAAGTATCTATCAGCATAATAACTGCAACAGCTTACATTTCAGTCCGTTTGCAGGCAAATCTAATCACGAGCATGGCATTGTCAGTACCGTCACGCGATACTCGTCGATGAGGGCATGATCGCATGACCTATTTCCTTGTTTGAACCTGCCACTGAGTGAAACGTTTTTGCAGTTTTCAAATTAACTTAGAATTTGGAGTAAGATAAAGGTTTTTCTGAAACGACGCGTGACGTGACGCGTCGTCGCTTGAAACTACATTCAAACTCGAAACGAAAATTAAAAAGCTCTTGGCTTTTTTCAGGCGCTATCTAGTCCTAAAATAAGCTTGTGGGTACTATGAGTATGGTGTATTAAATAGGTGTGAAACATTCATAGTTATTAAAAATTTCTGGCGTTGAGTCGCCTCTCGATGTGAATATTTTTCAAATAACTAGAAAAAATCGAACTGCCTAAGGTCGTGGGTTCGATTCCCACCTTAGGCAGTTTGATTTTTTTTAGTTATTTTAAAAAAGCATACATAGATGTGTAATTCATTATTTGTAAATTTTAGCAACTTGATAATAATATCTTAGTAGTTACTTACCTGCGGTTGTTTGAAACGCAAGAACGAGAGATGTAGAGTTGCATGTTCGATTCCTGGCCGACGCAAACGCTTGTTTCACTTCTTGTTAATCAATTTATCAATAATTACATACATAATTCGATATGAAGAGAAAGATGTTAAGAGGTAGAGATAGGTTTTTAGCGTGAACTCGCTCATTTTACAACAAGGAAGCATGATAGAAAGTCTCTATTTAAAATATTCAAAGTAATATAAAACGTCTGCCCTTACAAAGAAGCGACAACGGTCATCGTCAACTGCCCGATCGATAGAACTCGACGAATATTAAAATCGAATCTAAAAATATCGCCGACGCCGTGGCCGAGGCCTGACAACTGATAAAGGTATTGCCCTTGGACCTCTGATGAAAGGTCGTATTTAACTACCCCCTATGATTTTTTAATTTTATTTAGGCAATTGACAGCGGCACATGGATGTAAACCTCAGATCATAGAAGCGAACTTGTAGCCAATGACATACCATAAAAAAACATCTTAAATAGCTTGTAGCACCTTATTGGGCTGTAAGGAATGGTTTCCACCAAAGCGGAAAAAACAGGAGATATGTTTTTGATTCCGTTTCTCAACCGAAAGCTGAGCGAAGACGGAGAGAACCTTATTCAAACGCATCACATCTCCTCTCCGCTTTGGTGGAAACCAGGCCTAATAGGTGGCAATTTGGACCGTCATTCACAGTAGGTACTTTTACCATAGATTACTAATAAGTTACTACCCTAACCCTAAGGGAAGTCGAACCTTAACTTCGAACTCCTCCTGTGTGTGTCCAATGACAGTTTAACTTTCCCCCGGGACAAACTTGACCTTCACTGGTTGGGTTTTTATTAGCGGTCAAGCTGTAGATCCTGGCTACACAGGAGTTGCAGTGGTGGGAACGAGAAGTGTGAATAGTCCCGTACCCTAATGTGTTTGATATTAGTTCCATCTTAACCAGTGATGTAAAATAAATAAGTTCTCAATGAGCGAGATACAACTCTCTCTCTCTAAAATGCGCACGTAGTAAGAAAGTTTTCTGTAACAGACTAAAATTCACACATTTATTTTACCACGATATTTCAGTCTGTAAAAGTTAACTAATTATGCATGAATATCGACCGCCTAAAGTAATTACACTTCCTGGCAACGGAAAAGACATACGGTTGTTAATATTGAAATTGATTTCAATTGTATAGGTACCTAACATTGACCGTCAACTCCGATTCTAAACTTAGCGACATTGAAATGTTCGACGCAAGTGAAATTTTAATTAATTAAATGCCAAAATTACAATTTGTAAGGCATTTTTGAATAATAAACTAACTGCCCATGTTTTCTCATACTTCAATATCAGTATTTGGGGTGTTGAATCGTAAAGATAAATAAAAACATGCTTGTATGAATATCATAAATTTTATTCTTAGGTAGAAAATCTACTGTCCCATATAATACAAAAGTATTTATTTACACATTAATACTAAATCATCATACAATAATAAATGTTATTATTATATCAGTCAGGCATTCTTTAATGTTCTCAACCATTTGACACTTTCTTCAATGATATTTTTCCTTATTCACTAAATTTTATTTACTATTTGTCTTGTCTATAAAGACCTTATATCTATGACAAGGTTCAAAGTTACACTCCAACTAGCACACTTCCAGAGTTATTCTGGATCTTGGCTATTTCTTCTTTGAACTTGGCTATGGTCTCCTTAGCGAGGTGCAGTTTCTCTTTCAGATCTGATATTTCGTTCCGGACCTTTGCCTGGGCGTTTATTATCTTGTCAAGGGTTTTCTCTTTCTTGTCTTCAACTGAAAAATAAACATTACATCAAGAATGGAGGTTGGACTGCTCTGTAAGTAATAAAAAAAATGTAGTAAGCTGCAAAATAAGAGCTTCCTCGTTGTGGATAAAAAAAAACCATTTTGAAACCTAATTTAAATAAGACACTTTTTCAAAATAATTTATGACTTTTATATCAATGTAAAAAAAAACATCTAAATAATAAAGGGTTATGCCCACTTAGTATGGGACCTTTGGCCTGAGGTGGACAGACATTACAGCACGTAATTTGTTATTTATTAAATAGTCTATACCAGTAAGAAACAGAATATAAATATCATTTTGTATCCAAGTCCCTNAAGGCTGTAAGGAATGGTTTCCACCAAAGCGGAAAAAACAGGAGATATGTTTTTGATTCTGTTTCTCAACCGAAAGCTGAGCGGAGACGGAGAGAACCTTATTCAAACGCATCACATCTCCTCTCCGCTTTGGTGGAAACCAGGCCTAATAGGTGGCAATTTGGACCATCATTCACAGTAGTTCTTTTTCCATAGATTACTAATAAGTTACTACCCTAACCCTAAGGGAAGTCTAACCTTAACTTCGAACTCCTATGTTCTTCTGATTAATTTCGTTGCGGGTCCAATGACAGTTTAACTTTCCCCCGGGACAAACTTGACCTTCACTGGTTGGGTTTTTATTGGCGGTCAAGCTGTAGATCCTGGCTACACAGGAGTTGCAGTACTTGCAGTGGTGGGAACGAGAAGTGTGAATAGTCCCGTACCCTAATGTGTTTGATATTAGTTCCATCTTAACCAGTGATATAAAATTAATAATTTCTCAATGAACGAGATACAACTCTCTCTATAAAATGCGCACGAGATTTCTGTGACAGACTAAAATTCACACATTTATGAAGCCACGAAATTTCAGTCTGTAAAAGCTAACTAATTATGCATGAATATCGATCGTCTAAAGTAATTACACTTCCTGGCAACGGAAAAGACATACGGTTGTTAATATTGAAATTGATTTCAATTGTATAGGTACCTAACATTGACCGTCAACTCCGATTCTAAACTTGGCGACATTGAAATGTTCGGCGGAAGTGAAATTTTAATTAATTAAATGCCAAAAATACAATTTGCAAGAAATTTTTGAATAATAAACTAGCTACTGCCCATGTTTTCTCATACTTCAATATCAGTATTTGAGGTGTTGAATCGTAAAGATAAATAAAAACATGCTGGTATGAATATCATAAATTTTATTCTTAGGTAGAAAATCTACTGTCCCATATAATACAAAAGTATTTATTTACACATTAATACTAAATCATCATACAATAATAAATGTTATTATTATATCAGTCAGGCATTATTTAATGTTAACTCCAATCATTTGCCACTTTCTTCAATGTTATTTTTCCTTATTCACTAAATTTTATTTACTATTTGTCTTGTCTATAAAGACCTTATATCTATGATGAGAAGGTTCAAAGTTACACTCCAACTAGCACACTTCCAGAGTTATTCTGGATCTTGGCTATTTCTTCTTTGAACTTGGCTATGGTCTCCTTGGCGAGGTGCAGCTTCTCTTTCAGATCTGATATTTCGTTCCGGACCTTTGCCTGGGCGTTTATTATCTTGTCGAGGGTTTTCTCTTTCTTGTCTTCAACTGAAAAAAAAAACATTACATCAAAAATGGAGGTTGGATTGCTCTGTGAGAAATAAAGAAATGTAGTTCAGTAAGCAAAATTACCATTTTAAAACCTAATTTAAATAAGTCACTTTTTCAAAATAATTTATGACTTTTATATCAATGTAAAAAAAAACATCTAAATAATAAATTTGTTACCTTGGCTATATTTTTGAAAATATGTTGTCTTCTTGCTCAAATGAGAGTTAAAATTATAATGTAAAAGTGTTACTTTTACACTATATTCATTCACTATGTACCTGTATTAATTAAGTGAAGCATTGAACTGTGTTAAGACACAAGATTTTTCAAAGAAAGATTGTTTTATTTGTTTGTTTAGAAAATATTTTTTATTAATTGTGATTACTAGTAAAAGTAGTTGACTGATAGAGAATGCCATCTGGCATTAAGTCCGCCACTGTAGTGAGTATGTGCAAGAAGTTTTACATAATAAAAAATAAAGTACTATACTTAAAACGAAAAGTAACATGAACACATGCCTCCAAGGTATGCAGGTCTTCAAATTTATTATAGGTGAAATGAAATTATTTTTCAAATCCCTATCATTATCTTATTCTAGTACTCACAGTCCGTATCATGTGTCCAAGGTCCATTGGTGATTGGTTTGACGCTGCTAAGCAGATGCTGCATCAGCTGCGTCGGTTCCTGGAAGACTATCTCCTCGTACGACTCACTGACAAGCGCTCGGCCAATGGTCGGCGGAGCACCTTCCGTCACCGGGGATTGGAAGAGCTTCAGAATGTGGTATAACGTCACCTGAGGAATGATAAAGAAAATTTTTAAATGTATATAAATTTATGAAAGCGGAAGGTCACTGATTGACTGTCTCACTCATCACGAAATCTCAGAAACTACAAGTCAAATTTTGCATGGGGTTTCCTTTTAGAACTTAGGTGCTCACTAAGATGGGATTTTGTAATGTTTATTGTATTTAATGGTTGTTATGGACATTAACAAACTGGTAAAACTAGTTTAGAAATGCAATTTAATGACACTGTGTTTTAGAAACACAAATTTCCGTGACCCCGAAAGATGGTGCATTAGGATTTTAACTTAGTGGATTAAGAACAAGTAAACAAGTAGTACTCACAGGTCTCTCATTAGGGTCATGGAAGTAAATCTTGATAACAATCTCAAACTCGCCCCATCCTGTCTCGGTGAGCTCGTAAGGCGGCTTTGCGATTATTCTGTTAGGGTTGGCATAGCTCTCGTGCAGCTTGAAATGAACCTTCTTGATATACGCTGACATATCCTCATTGGCGTAGGGCTTCACGTATACGGTCCACTGATGCGTGTGACCATCCTCTTCCCGCTTCTTCCCGAAATACCGAGCAACGTTCCCGTAGACTATAGGCTTTACTATCACAAGACCCTGAAAACAACACAAATACTTCTCAATTTGTCCCGGCAAAGTTTATGGCCAAGTTTTTACAGATCATTGCGTTACCTTGACTCTTCCCCCGGAGTCCGGGCCGAAGTCTGTAGGTAAACTCATGTCCACGTCTATTTTCGAAGTCAGCTTGACGAGTTTTATAGAACTTTTCGAGATAATACCGTTTCTCTGTTGGTAAACAGAGCAATTTTTGCGAGAATTTCCAACAATTTGCTTTGTTGCACGAAACGACTGTCAACTTGACACACGCTACGCAACTGTCAGCTGTCACTGTCACTTAAGTTTTTTTTTTGTGTTCGGCAATGATCAGCTAACTATACAGACAGCATCATGTAAAAAAAATAAAAAAAGGAGCATTCGTCAGAAATCGCAGAGCTTTATCAACTCATAAATCCTGACTAAGTTTAGGACTTCCGCCAAAACTCACGCGGTCGCCCACATGCGTTTCAGACCAGTATCGAAAATTAATATGATGAACAGCGGCGCACGTGGGTCACGCAGCCAGACTTCTAAAATGTTTTTGGGCTGGTTTTCCCACCTTTGTGGTTTTCCAACAGCGAAATGGGAAATGAGTCGATTATAGGGTTTGTAGTTTGACTTTTCGTTCATTGCTTGAAAGGGCTATATTTTATCTTCATGTCATGGCCCATGGTCCATGGGGCATGGGGTACCTAAATGGGGTCTTCAAATTAATAACACAACACAGGCGTTTCGAAATTTATTTCTTATCAGAAGGCAAGTGAACAATGGTCCAACAAGCTCTTTTACTTACATTTAAATGCAATATATTTGAATAACATTAAACTAACTACTTAATTGCGTAAGTGTTCGCTCTACTTTATACTGAGCACAGATTATAATACAATCACAACATTCATAACGTCGGTTCACGGCTGGCAGAATGACTTCGGATTTAGGCCAGTGGTCAAGACGGTGATTTAAAAAGTTAAAATTTATGGTCGGTGCGAGCGTTTTCGATGTCAGCCAGCAGCGGGTTGCTCTCCTCCTCGAAGCGGGAGGAGCGTGAGCCTATTCGGGAGGCGGACACGCGCTGCGTGNGACTGAGTTTAGAGGTATACATGCCATAGTAAGTTTGGTTTATTACACTATTTCGTAATCAAAAAACAAAGTTTGGTCGATGGCCGCGCGAAAAAAAAAAGACGCCACCTTCCATACAAAATCTGGCATTGCCATTTATGTCTTGAAATGCTGGTAGGGTAAAAAAAATAACGAGATTTGACGATTTGTAAGAATTAATTTATTTTAAAAAGGTCAATAAAGATGTTTTTGGTTTTGTATTTAACAAATTATCAGTTTTATCAGAATTAATTAATTTTCGAATAGAGTCACACGATTTCATTCGATGACTTTGCAAATGCAGTACGATGATACGATTACTTTTACGTTGCGGCAATCACTAAAATTCGCTAAAATGACACTAATGACGTTTAAAAAGTGGCACGCTCGGCTTCATACAATTTTTGACACATGCTGCATCTATCCATATCTGTGAGTAATACATAGCGACTGACTGTCAACTTGACACACGCTACGCAACTGTCAGCTGTCACTTAAGTTTTTTTTTTTGTGTTTGGCAATGATCAGCTAACTATACAGACAGCATCATGTAAAAAAAATTAAAAAAGGAGCATTCGTCAGAAATCGCAGAGCTTTATCAACTCCTAAATCCTGATTAAGTTTAGGACTTCCGCCAAAACTCACGCGGTCTCCCACATGCGTTTCAGACCAGTATCGAAAATTAATATAAATAAATAAAAAAACGTTTATTTGGCACAACACAATACAAATTAAAACTTAAAATTAAAATAAAATTGTACCAAACAGATCCTCGCTCAGCATAAGCCAAGGCACGTAGTACCTCGACGCTGATATGCGAGCCACGTGGATCACGCAGCCAGACTTCTAAAATGTTTGGGCTGGTTTTCCAACAGCGAAATGGGAAATGAGTCGATTATAGGGTTTGTAGTTTGACTGCTCGTTCATTGCTCAAAAGGGCTATATTTTATCTTCATGTCATGGCCCATGCATGGGGTAATAGGGTCTTCAAATTAATAACACAACACAGGCGTTTCGAAATTTAATTCTTATCAGAAGGCAAGTGAACAATGGTCCAACAAGCTCTTTTACTTACATTTAAATGCAATATATTTGAATAACATTAAACTAACTACTTAATTGCGTAAGTGTTCGCTCTACTTTATACTGAGCACAGATTATAATACAATCACAACATTCATAACGTCGGTTCACGGCTGGCAGAATGACTCCGGAGTTAGGCCAGTGGTCAAGACGGTGATTTAAAAAGTTAAAATTTATGGTCAGTGCGAGCGTTTTCGATGTCGGCTAGCAATGGGTTGCTTTCCTCCTCGAAGCGGGAGGAGCGTGAGCCTACTCGGGAGGCGGACACGCGCTGCGTGAACGTGAGGAGGTTGGGGAGCGCGCCGCAAGGAGTAGCAGGGGCCGAGCGAGAGGAGACGCGGGCACCAGGGGAGGGTCTGGTCCTGGTGGGGTAGGCGACGGAGAGAGGCATGTATAAGCTCGATTTCCTGGGCTTCTTGCGAGGGCGGCGCTCATCGCTGGGTCGCCGCGTGGAGTCTTGGGATTGGGTGGGGCTGGTGGGACGAGGGGGGGACGCGGGCGCGGGCGGCGGCGGGCGCGGCGCGTAGGCGGCCCGCGGGCAAGGCTCGGGCGCGCCGGGCGAGCGGTGGCCCGGGGGCGAAGCGCCCAGGCGAGGCTTGCAGCCGCCGTCGCAGTACATCTCGCAGTCTATCAGCTCGAGCTCTAAGTCGAATGAGGGGTCCTGTGGAAAAATTAAAAGTAATTATGAAACATTTTAATTTAAACACCGCACAGAGATATGCCTGTTGCCTAAAATGAAAAATGAAAATGAAAATATTTATTGCCAAAATCAAACAATACAATAACTAAAAGACAGACCTCCACACTCGGTATAACTTAAATAACTTCAGTCAATAACAGGGAGAGCTAAAGGTCGCTTCACGGCACTTCTTCTCTCACTCGCTCGCATAATCGACAGCATAATTTGTTGGTGCGTGCATAAATCATATCTGAGAAAATAAGCTGTCTCGTGGTATCTACATAGAAGATTTTAGTCTCATACAATAATATCAAATCTAATAAAAAAATCTACCTAAGTCCGGTCGCCGAGCATGTAGAATTTCGTCCAATGGCCCCAAGCTACCTATCCTTATCGCTCGCGCGTAATTATATTGCTGTCGCGCTTACACACTCACTGCGGCCGCCCGTCGCACAGTCGCGACGGGTAGCTTGGGGTCATTGGACGAAATTCTACGTGCTTGGCGAACGAACTTTATAAGAAATACCAAAAATATGATTGCAAATATATTAGATATTGCTCGCACTCACAAGGGGCTGTACAGGGGAAGTGATGAGGTTGTCCCGGAAGGCCTGGGACTCGGCCCGCGAGCGCGCGCACGCGGAGTCCGACGTGGTCCTGCTTCGGGCCGGGGCGGCGGCGATGGCGGGGGCAGTGACCTGTGTTTATGTGATCATTTTTAAATACTATCTGCAAAAAAACATTTAGGTACCAGTGGCTTCATTCGCGTATTTTAACAGTCAAGATCTCGTTGACGTTCAGAAGTCGTCCCATTGAAAAACAGTTCTAAGTCCGTATTCACAAGGGTCATTTTGATAGAATGATTACTCGATAGGATCGCAACTCAGCGATTTGTTGTCATTAAAGTTTTGTTACGTCGTCCGATTCAAAAGGGTCAATTTCCCAAACACATTTTTTGAGCGGCGTAGCTGAAAATCATATGTTTTTTATGACATAGAACTTTGATTTTTTTTTACACGAAAATATACAGAGGTTCCATTTTGAGGACAACATTATTAATGAGTATTTTCTTTTACAAATTCGACAAAAAATAATTGAACTAAGCGTTTCTAATTTTGGTGCAGTGTCCACATCCTTAATTTCTTACAATATGTATTTTTTTAGCTGAAGATCAAAACAGAACTTAGGGAAAAAGTATATTTTTGGATTATACAATCTATCTATTATCTAAGATTACCAAATTAAGCAAGTTTCCCAAATAACTGTGATTAAGTCACGTCCTTAAGTTTTGTCCGCGAAAAATTTATGATTTTGGTGTCAATAATGAAATAGCTCGTCAGTTTCTTTAAAGATCAAACAGGATTTAAACACTCCCATCATTCGTTAGGTTTAGTACCGCCCCCGCGAGCAGTGACGGCAGACGGGTGCAAGACCTCTGCGTCTTCCCGCCAAAAACGTAAATGTGTTGTTTTTTTTTAAACGGACAACAATTCTGCAATTTTGGTGTCTTTTTGTATAAGATTTCTAAGCTATTCTTTTTAGTTGAATTCCTCGTATAATGTAAAGGAACTGTTTTCATACCATGTGTTAAAATGTTATTGTTATATTTAAAACAGATTTCATATAATTTAGCTTTTTCAACGAGAATCTAATTTTGGTGAGTCAATTTTGGTGTTTTTGGTGGTGCACCAAAGCATTTTTAACCGACTTAACTCCGTCAATTGTGAACCGATTTTCAAAATTCTTTTTTTGTTCTATAGGGTACACTTATGTGGTGGTCCCATTGTCACCAAGTCAGGATCTGATGATGGGATCCTAGGGAAATCGAGAGTAAACCTCAAATTTTGTAGGAATGCAATACGTTTTCTAAAGTTATTCAAGTAGTCATCATCTAATGTTGATGAGGTGATGATGGAAGGTAAAACTCCTTAACGCTTAGGAGTTGGAGGATAATTCTTTAAATATTTTAGGTAGGTATGTACATACAGTTGTATTATTTCAGGTATTTAAGATGAGCTGATGATGAAAGGTCAAACAACATAAGTTAGGAGTTAGATGATACTCAATACTCATTTGTTGATACATACATTGACACATGATACATTGATACTTTTTAGTTGCCGATATTTAAAGTAGGGAGCCTGTATTTTGCTAGGAAGATTATTTACACTTGGATTGTGATTAAGACTATAATTTTCCATTACAAAATGGAAAATTATAGTCTTAATCACATTAAACATAGGTACTGTCCCTCTTCAGTGACAATAACAAGGACTAATAAACTAAAAAGCATGAAAAAAAATAATTTTAACAAAAAAAATAAAACCGACGCCAACAATCACTTAAAAGTAGAAAATAAGTACGTCGTTATTTATTTATTAGGACAATATACCATGATTAATATTTTTGGAGTCGGTGCTGGTAAATTTAAATCCATTTCTTGAGCTTGGCACTAAGATATGACCGACTGACAGCATATTTTCTAATTTTGGTGCTTTAATATAAATTTTGGTGTTCTCTTAATTTTGGTGTAAGGAAAATCTAAAAAACTACTGGACAAAATTTAATGTCTTAATCATTTTAGAAACAGTATAAGTTTCCAATAAATTTGATCTATAATTAAAGAATAAAAATACACAAATAACAATTTCCACCAAAATTTGGCAAAAATATGCACTTGTTGAAATTCACCCAAAAACAGTTCTAAATCCGTATTCACAAGGGTCATTTTGATAGCACGATCACTCGATAGGATCGCAACTCAATGTTTTGTTGTCGTTGAAGTTTTGTTACGTGAATAAGGCTACTACTCTCATGTCACCTAGACGTATAAAACTGGTAGAAAAATGTTGCTTTTTAAACTGGATCACACTAGCGCCCTCTAGCGACAACAGCAAGCAAAGCTCTGCTTTGTGTACCTTTCGGTACAGCATGATTTAGTCCAGTAGAATTAGCTTTTAAATCGGAAATAATTCCTACAAAAGATTTTATTGTTTTAATGGCTTCATTGGTTGCCCATTAAGACTCTCCTAAGTTTTCGACTTCGACGGAGTTGTGCTTAAGTGGTGGGGGCCCCCGAAAGGGGCATTTTTTCGGTTTTCCGGTTATACCGCGTAAAGGACTTACCCTATCAAAAAGTGGTCTTCATGACGGTTGAAGGGCACTTAATCCTGCATTGAATAAGACCAAATTCATATGTTTTGGACAAACCGTTCTCGCGCTAAAGTTCGGCAAAGTAGAAAATATACGTATAATTAATGACCCTCTCCATGTCCAATGGTTTGTTACCCACAGGCTTCCAAGTCTTGAAAAGGGCCACCTCAACCAGTGTAACCCTATCAAGGCTTACGAGCTTGATGCGCCTATCCTTGTTCGTCCCAGCCGTTCCTTAACTGCGGTTGCTGCACCTCTTCCTGGCACTCACCTGAACGACTCTGTGTTACCTACTGTGGCTGCCCCTCTTCCTTGTATCCTCCTGCATGACTACGTTGCCTAGCCGTATGCCTGGTCTAAGGTTCGACGCCAAAAATCAACAACAACAAGTTCATATTAAAACGCTGAAGAGTTTTTTGTTTGTTTGTTTGAACGCGCTAATCTTAAGAGGTAACACAGAGTCGTTCAGGAGAGTGCCAGGAAGAGGTGCAGCAACCGCAGTTAAGGAACGGCTGGGACGAACAAGGATAAGCGAATCAAACTCGTGAGCCTTGTTAGGGTTACACTGGTTAAGGCGACCCTTTACAAGGCTTGGAAGCATGTGGGTAACAAGCCATTGGACGTGGAGAGGGTCATTAATTATACGTATATTTTCTACTTTGCCGAACTTTAGCGCGAGAACGGTTTGTCCAAAACATATGAATTTGGTCTTATTCAATGCAGGATTAAGTGCCCTTTAACCGTCATGAAGACCACTTTTCGATAGGGTAAGTCCTTTACGCGGTATAACCGGAAAACCGAAAAAACGCCCCTTTCGGGGGCCCCCACCACTTAAGCACAACTCCGTCGAAGTCGAAAACTTAGGAGAGTCTTAATGGGCAACCAATGAAGCCATTAAAGCAAAAAAATCTTTTGTAGGAATTATTTCCGATTTAATCAATTTTTGTGTTTAATTCTACTGGCCTAGAATTACGGTTTAGTGAATTTGTTACTTACTGGTACCGCTGTGTCAATATCAGGCAGTGTTATCGGTAAGGCGGCAAAAGTATGTTATCGATACCATGAGGGCGGCATAAATGCGTTACCGATATTATCGGTACCGCCGGAGCAGCTTCACTGCGATATACGTAGCGCGGAGGCAGCTTAAATGCCCTACCGGTACCTCGAGAGCATCTTAAGTGTGTAAGGCTGCGTTTCCACCCGTATATTACCGGTATCTTGGTAGCAGCATAGTTACCGGTAGGACGGGGGCGGCGCGCGGCTCCGTCAGCGAGGACAGCGAGCGTAGCAGCGAGCGGCCGCACGCCACGCCGCAATCCGAGTAGTTGCTCGCGCACGAGTATGGCGGCGGTATGATCGAATTTGCCTGCAAGGAGAAGTAGGAAGCTGAACCAATATTAAGTCCATTATCTTAAACTGTGATACAAAGTTGAAGCTTACTACGGATCACATCTGACTAATCACAGTGCGCCTGCGTCGCGTCACAGATACTATGTATGGACTAGAGAAAAATCGAATCGCTCGCTCCAAGTTGGGCGCCAATAAGAACCTTAATTGGCGCCCAACGTGAAGCGAGCGTAAACTTGCAACTTTTTCAGAGCAAACCAAAATTTTTTATTAAACAATAATTAATTTTGGAGATTTTGACTACTTACCTCATTTGCTGCGTTGCATATGAAACTGGAGTTGAGAGATTCTGCAGTACTCGTCGCTGAGAGAGAGCCTGAAACAAACGCATAAAAACACCTTAAAAATCTTCTATACTTAATTCGTAGCCAGTTTGTATGCCTACTAAAACACAGTTTAATGTGTAAAATACTAACAGTAGTCACATTCAGCTTTGCTAGCCGTAAAGCTCCCTCGTGCTTCTTGAAAATATCTTTCACTGGATCTAACATTTTTCTTGGTCACAGTAACCTAGCATAAAGTTATTTCGTCCTTGTTGATCCTTTACCAGTAAAACTAAGTAACAACAAAGATAGTAATAATTAAACTGTAAATTGTCAGCAACGCCTTTATAAAGTTCGCACAGTAAGGCTGAGTTGCACCACCTAACTTTAGCGGTAACTATAACGATAACCGGTGTTTTTTGTATGGAGTTTGACAGACTTTTGACGTTTGTAAAAGTTAAAGTAAGATGCTGCAACCCAGCCTTAGTAACTCAATCTAAATCTGTGAATTCAACCAATGAAAATTGCTGTCTAAATATTTATAGGAATGCGTCTGACTCTCACTGCAGTCGCTCGTTAACTAACAAAGTAAGCGCAGGGCTTGGTAATTGAGTTATGCCTTCCCTTGATAATCTGCAAGCTGATTAGAATGCGTGGGCGGCATTAAGCCGCATTTGATTGTAGGCGCATTATGCATCTTACGGCTCTCTCCAGGAGAAGCCATAGTGCGTTATTATAAGCCTGGGGCTACTAGGACGGCAAGTTTTTTTTATCTCGTAATAACTATCGAAAATCGTAGGGTTCAACTCTAGATAGCCTTCAAGATAGCCTTGATAATATTTAACAATTGACTTAAAATCCTACTTTCTTTCATGTAAATCATTATTGTACACAAAAATAACGTTACAAAAGGCGAACTTAATACCATGTGGCATTCTCTACCAGTTAACCTTTAGGCCAAACAGAGACTATTCGTTTGTTTTAAATAAATGCCGTCGACTGTCGAGATAAAGGCATCCCCCACGGATTTCCACATCAATCCGGTGCCTCCTGCATCCAGATGCTTCCCGCGACCTCCACCAGATCGTCGGTCTTTTCTGCCCTAGCGGTCATCAGCTTTACGTGTCCCATTGCCCCTTATGTTTGTCGCTTCTGCGGGCTATTATTTTGGTTTTTCTGCGAATTTCTGACTCCATCACGCATGAAATCAATGTGTGGTATTTGCCCCACTTACTGATACTTAAGATTGGCTTTTCTGCGGGTCATGTTAGCTACTTTTGCAGATCTTCTCATTTCTGACTCCATCACGCAAGAAATCTATTACGAAATCAAACCTTCATAATAAATGTTACAACGTACCTGGCGCGCGTATGACGTAGTTCCGGAAGTAGTGCACCATGAGGTAGTTGCCGCCGCCCTTGCCGTCGCCGTCGCCGCACGTTATCACCAGCGGATACAGGTCCGGCTTCGACGTTACCTGCGGACGATATTGCGTCACTGAATTAAAAGGCTTGATATACTTGAGAAGATCAAGAGTTCCAACCATGAGACTAACAGAGAAATAGATTGTTTCATCCACGAAGACGCGTTCCACCATTCTTCCGCTAATGTTTGGGTGATATCGGATCGGTACACGCTAAATTATCTATCAGTGTGCACCGCACGCTCGGATTGCTCGGATGAGATTCCCCGCACCCGCGCTTCCCTCGACGAAAAATTGGTGGGGCGCGTTTTCGTGAATGAAACAATAATCTATAATGTCCTGTCATTAGTTTAATCATTTCAATTCAATCATTTAGATTTAATTCAAAAGATTAAACCAGTTTTGGGCGTCATTTTAAAATACGTGAGGCCTTAATTCTCAGAACAGTCACACATGGTTCTATCTGCATTACGAACCGAATCTTGAGAGCGCGTAGTTAGGTACTGCATCGAGGCTCTTTTCAGCTTATTCTTTCGTGTCTTCCAAAATGGCCTGACCTCAGAGCATGACACATGCTGAACGGCGGCCATTTTTGGTTCTAACTACCTTTAATTACTTGTTCAAATTGTGTGTTATTTTTTTCTAATATTGGAACCAAATACGGCGCCTGGTGAAACGACCCTTAGCGGCTGTAGTGCGGCGGCGGGTAGACGGAGCCGGCCGAGTCGTGCTCAGAGGGATTACTCTGAAAAACGTTATCCGAAGTTTCGAAACTTGCCATCCCTGAGTTTAGTAGTCTCATCAGTAAAGCGAGATGTCAGCATGAGCGACAGTGTGTGACAGACGATCCGAAACTACGTATCAGCGTTTCTTGTATCCTATAGCAGTGAACTACCTCTGAGTACGGCGCCGGCGCCTGGTGGAAGGACTCGCAGCGGCTGCAGTGCGGCGGCCGCACGCAGCACGATGATATTCTAAAGCCCGGTCGCCGAGCACGTAGAATTTCGTCCAATGACCTCCAAGCTACATATCCTTATCGCTCGCGCGTAATTATATTGCTGTTGCGCTCGCACACTCACTGCGGCCGCCCGTCGCAAAGTCAGTTGGGGTCATTGGACGAAATTCTGCGTGCTTGGCGACCGGACTATAGAGCAGTAAACTACCTCTGAATACGGCGGCGGCGCCTGGTGAAACGACCCGCAGCGGCTGTAATGAGGCGGCGGGTAGACGGAACCGGCGGAGTCGTGCTCGGACGCGCGGCGCCGCACGCAGCACGATGGTATATTCTAAAGCCCGGTCGCCGAGCACGCAGAATTTCGTCCAATGACCCCAAGCTACCCATCCTTATCGCTCGTGCGTAATTATATTGCTGTCGCGACTGCGACGGGCGGCCGCAGTGAGTGTGCGAGCGCTTGGCGACCGGACTATAGAGCAGTAAACTACCTCTGAATAAGGCGGCGGCGCCTGGTGAAACGACCCGCAGCGGCTGTAGTGCGGCGGCGGGTAGACGGAGCCGGTGGATTCGTGCTCGAACGCGCGGCGCCGCAAGCAGCACGATGGTATATTCTAAAGCCCGGTCGCCGAGCACGTAGAATTTCGTCCAATGACCCCCAAGCTACACATCCTTATCGCTCGCGCGTAATTATATTGCTGTCGCGACTTTGCGACGGGCGGCCGCAGTGAGTGTGCGAGCGATAAGGATGGGTAGCTTGGGGTCATTGGACGAAATTCTGCGTGCTCGGCGACCGGACTATAGAGCAGTGAACTACCTCTGAATACGGCGGCGGCGCCTGGTGAAACGACCCGCAGCGGCTGTAATGAGGCGGCGGGTAGACGGAGCCGGCGAGTCGTGCTCGGACGCGCGGCGCCGCACGCAGCACGCCAGCGAGCACGCGTACACGTGCGCCGAGCGTCGCACGAGCAGGCACCACGCGCAGCACAGCACGATGGTAACTTGGGGTCATTGGACGAAATTCTGCGTGCTCGGCGACCGGACTATAGACCAGTAAACTACCTCTGAATAAGGCGGCGGCGCCTGGTGGAACGACCCACAGCGGCTGTAATGAGGCGGCGGGTAGACGGAGCCGACGGAGTCGTGCTCGGACGCGCGGCGCCGCACGCAGCACGATGGTATATTCTAAAACCCGGTCGCCGAGCACGTAGAATTTCGTCCAATGACCCCAAGCTACCCATCCTTATCGCTCGCGCGTATAATATTGCTGTTGCGCTCGCACACTCACTGCGGCCGCCCGTCGCAAAGTCGCGACAGCAATATAATTACGCGCGAGCGATAAGGATGGGTAGCTTGGGGTTATTGGACGAAATTCTGCGTGCTCGGCGACCGGACTATAGAGCGGTGAACTACCTCTGAATACGGCGGCGGCGCCTGGTGAAACGACCCGCAGCGGCTGTAATGAGGCGGTGGGTAGACGGAACCGGCCGAGTCGTGCTCGGACGCGCGGCGCCGCACGCAGCACGCCAGCGAGCACGCGTACACGTGCGCCGAGCGCCGCACGAGGAGGCACCACGCGCAGCACAGCACGATGGTAACTTGGGGTCATTGGACGAAATTCTGCGTACTTGGCGACCGGACTATAGACCAGTAAACTACCTCTGAGTACGGCGGTGGCGCCTGGTGGAACGACCCGCAGCGGCTGTAATGAGGCGGCGGGTAGACGGAGCCGGCAGAGTCGTGCTCAGAGGGATTACCCTGAAAAACGTTATCTGAAGTTTCGAAAGTTGCCATCCCTCTCACGTAAAGCGAGATGTCAGCATGAGCGACGGTGACAGACGATCCGAAACTACGTATCAGCGTTTCTTGTATCCTATAGCAGTGAACTACCTCTGAGTACGGTGGCGGTGCTTGGTGAAACGACCCGCAGCGGCTGTAATGAGGCGGCGGGTAGACGGAGCCGGCCGAGTCGTGCTCGGACGCGCGGCGCCGCACGCAGCACGCCAGCGAGCACGCGTACACGTGCGCCGAGCGTCGCACGAGAAGGCACCACGCGCAGCACAGCACGATGCCGCCAAGTGTGCCGAGGAGAAACAGCACCGACCTGCGCGAGGGACAAGAAGGATTTTATAATAGTACCGACAGCTCATCAAACTTAACACTTATCTCGTTGCAATACAGCCTATTTTGCAACAAAAATGTATACTCTGACGTGCTTTCGAGTGTGTACCTATCGTCACCTGTTCTTTTTATTTTAGACAATAATGCCCTCTCCTTAGGCTGTCTGAAATGCTTCCTATTGCGATGCGATAAGACCATTTTACATTACATTCGTAAAAGTAATGTAGGTAACATTGGTTTTAATTTCAAACTTGATTGTCCAAAAGTTGATTCCATAGTTCGAAGCGATGCTTCGTCCATTATACTACTTTGTCTAGGGCTACTTCCTAGCTAAGTAGGTAACTGCTACTATTAACAGAGCCCCGATTACGGTATTTTTTAACGTCAACAATCCAGACACGCTTCTCGATTCTGCGATACGATTGGTCGTTCAACAGCGTACGTCAGCTGTTTTGACCAATCGTATTGCAGAATCAGAAACGCGTCTGGATTGTAGACGTTAAAAGTTACCGTAATCGGGGCTCTGGTTACTAGAGACTTCTCTTACTTAGACTTACATAGATTAACAACCTCAGTTTCAAATTGTGTCTAACATGGATGAAACCTTCATTAAATAATATTAAGTATTGTAAGTGTATTGTCGATGATACTGAATAAACATTTTTTCTTTCTTTCTTTCTTTCAAAATCTTGGAATCTTGTGGTAAATAGAACACGTAACTACATAATAAAAAACCGGATTTCCATAATCAGCAAACAAACCAAAACTTTTATAGTACAACGTTACACTCTGTTTATTCCATTTAAAGGCCCATTAACTTTGAGGCTTGTTTGCATTAAGGCCGCTTGTTTCACGCGCCATATAGTTGTCGCGACCTTCGTCAGTCCAGCCGGCCCCGAACCTGGGACCCTCATCAAAGTCAGTAGGCGACGGGACAACACAGTTTATATTGCGTAAAGTAGATGCTTAGTTAGAAAATTGATAAGGAATTAAATAATTAATTAAAAGGCTGGAAGGTTCCGATTCCCGGTCCCTGCTCTTTGATTAGTAGCGTAAGATAATTTAACAATGTCTTTTAATTAACAATTTAGGCTTTATTATACCTAACTGTGTAAATAAAAACTAGGGATGTTATGGATATGTAGTTTCGGTTATGGATACGGTTACGGAACGGATATAGGAATAATAATGTACCGGTTTTTGTTACGGATATTTTTTTCATTTCGGATATCCGAAAGTTTCGGTTATTACGGATATCCATAACCCCTGGTAGAAACCAAAACAGTAACTATGTCTCACAATGTATAAATTCTGAAATTTTTTGGCCTTCGTAAGTACTTGATGCGATTTCAGTACTACGCCGACCGAATTCTCCGATAATAAGAAAAGTATACACATGTTTGTATACCTAATGTAAACATTCCTAATGTTATTTGCGAAGTTTACGGTGGAATGGAGAAATGCGAGTCCCCGACCGAACCCACAAACCAATACCCAGGAAACAACATGAATTATTTCATCCATCCCGGCATTTTTATTAGTTTCGTGCCTTACCAACATAAAAATGGCCATTCCGTGAGTGTAGTTTCGTAAGTAAATTATTTATTTTATGAGCACCGCGCCTAGTCTGGAACTTTCTTTGCCCAGTGCAAGGAAAAGCTGTTGATTTACGAATACAGCCTTCTTGCCTTCTCCTAAAATAAAGAAAGGTAGTACCTATATCACTTAAAGGTAGTAAAGTAGGGTTACATCACTTACACACCTATCGATCCTGGGTGCCAACATAAGCTCTACTACTTTACAAATGAATAAAATAAAATAAAACCTCAATTAAAGGGCCATGAAAGGCTGACAGATGAAGAACAGAGTGGTCCTATAAGATCCTTTTCTTTTTAAGATACTCACGGAACCCTAGACAATCTTATGTTTTCGCACTACTACCTCTCAATACAGTCATAGTTGTGGTATAACCCGATCGTGTGAGTTAACTGCGCACGAATGCGAGTCTCCCTCGCACTCGTGCGCACACCTCCCCGCGTTCGCCTCGTCGATGTGACGTCACGGCTGCCACGTGCACAATTAACTCGATTGGGTTGTACTGACTGGCCCATTGATGATCACTTACCATTGTGCGTACCACGGGTAGTACGGAAGCTCCCTGGCTGGAATGCGACTCCCTGGACCTCCCCGCGTTCGCCCCGTCCATACAAGACCGTCGATATGACGTCACGGCTTCCAGGTGTGCAATTAACTCAATCGGTTTGTACTGGCTGGCCCATTGATGATCCTTAGTCCTTACCATTGTGCGTACCACGAGTAGTACGGGAGCTCCTTGCAGCACAGCTAGTAGCGGGCCCAGCCGCCTGTTGTGGCACGGGTTGTCTTCTGTCCCACACTGGGGACAGCGTATCACTTACCATTGTGCGTACCACGGGTAGTGCGGCAGCTCCTTGCAGCACAGGCCCAGGCCCAGTCGCCTGTTAGGGCACGGGTTCAGTTCGGTCCCATACTGGGTACAGCACATCACTCATCATTGTGCGTACCACTGGCAGTAGGGGAGGTTCCTTGCAGCACAGCTAGTAGCGGGCCCTGCCGCCTGTTGGGGCACGGGTACAGTTCTGTCCCACACCGTCTGTCTGGTTCTGTCCCCACTCACCATTGTGCGCACCACGGGTAGTACGGCAGCTTCTTGCACCACAGCTAGTGCGCCGAGCCCAGCCGCCAGTTTGGGCACGGGTACAGTTCTGTCCCACACTGTCTGTCTGGTTCTGTCCCCACTCACCACTGTGCGTACCACGGGTAGTACGGCAGCTCCTTGCAGCACAGCTAGTAGCAGGCCCAGCCGCCTGTTGGAGCACGTGTTCAGTTCTGTCCCATACTGGGTACAGCACATCACTCACCATTGTGCATACCACGGGTAGTACGGCAGCTCCTTGTGGGGCTCGTCGTCCCACCTCGCAGCACAGCCGCCTGTTGGGGCACGGGTTGTCTTCTGTCCCACACTGGGGACAGCGCTCACTCACCATTGTGCGTACCACGGGTAGTACGGCAGCTCCTTGCACCACAGCTAGTGCGCCGAGCCCAGCCGCCTGTTGGGGCACGGGTTGTCTTCTGTCCCACACTGGGCACAGCGCATCACTCACCATTGTGCGTACCACGGCTAGTACGGCAGCTCCTTGCAGCACAGCTAGTAGCGGGCCCAGCCGCCTGTTGGGGCACGGGTTCTCTTCTGTCCCACACTGGGGACAGCGCATCACTCACCATTGTGCGTACCACGGGTAGTACGGCAGCTCCTTGCAGTACAGCTAGTAGCGGGCCCAGCCGCCTGTTGGTGCACGGGTTGTCTTCTGTCCCACACTGGGGACAGCGCTCACTCACCATTGTGCGTACCACGGGTAGTACGGCAGCTCCTTGCAGTACAGCTAGTGCGGGCCCAGCCGCCTGTTGGGCACGGGTTGTCTTCTGTCCCACACTGGGGACAGCGCATCACTCACCATTGTGCGTACCACGGCTAGTACGGCAGCTCCTTGCAGCACAGCTAGTAGCGGGCCCAGCCGCCTGTTGGGGCACGGGTTCTCTTCTGTCCCACACTGGGGACAGCGCATGACTCACCATTGTGCGTACCACGGGTAGTACGGCAGCTCCTTGCAGCACAGACCCAGGCCCAGCCGCTTGTTGGTGCACGGGTTGTCTTCTGTCCCACACTGGGGACAGCGCTCACTCACCATTGTGCGTACCACGGGTAGTACGGCAGCTCCTTGTGGGGCTCATCGTCGCGGCGCGAGGGCGCGCCGGGGGCGCAGCACCCCACCTCGCAACACAGCCAGTGCGCTGGGCACAGCCGCCCGTCGGGGCACGGGTTCTCTGCTGCATCACACTGGGGACAATTCCTTTTATTTGTACCTAGTTCAAAATATTCTCAAAAGGTATCGTTATAAATTATAATCAAATAAGCAATTACTTGCAAAGTAACCGAAATAGCATACATAGGGCGGGGCACATAGCTCGTAGAGACGATGGCCGTTGGGACAGGAAAGTTCTCGAGTGGCGACCACGGGCTGGAAGACGTAGCGTGGGCAGGCCTCCTACAAGGTGGACCGACGATCTGGTAAAGGTCGCGGGAAGAGCCTGGATACGGGCAGCGCAGGACCGTTAATTGTGGAAAACCTTGGGGGAGGCCTTTGTCCAGCAGTGGATGTCATTTGGCTGAAACGAAAGCAATTACTTATAGGAACTTTTACATTACATAAGTACGGGTATATTCGTTAAGATAAACGCAAATAGATACTCTACTTATGGCATAAAAGGGTCTTTTCCACCCAGGTGATCAAAGTGGACTCCACTCCAGGCAACACTTTGGTGTCCTTTGATCACCCACGGATAAGAAGTCCACTTAGTTCACCTAGGTGATTTTATCTATGGGTGGTCAAAGGACACCCATAAAAGTTCGCCTGTAACGTTTCCGTAATGGCACAAAATACTTTTTGGTAATGCCAAATCGAACATGAAGTAAGTAGGTGAGTAAGTCATAATTACTTTTAACTCTCATTACCTCAAAACTAAAGCTTCCAAGTTAAGGTAAACGTATCTACATTTACCTAAGCTCTATAATACATTACATAAGTGTAGTTCGCTGTCGAAATTACGACGTAGGCTAAGATCCCTCGGTTGAATGACGCACGTGAATTTTGTATGAGCTGCCGCTAGATGAAAGGACGCCATCAAGAACTCTGTGCAAACGCTCAATGAATGGCACGGAAATTGGTTTCTTTGGCTGAACACCACAGTTTGCAAACATTATGTGGGAACGTAAGTACACATGAGCACACAGTCGAATGGGAAGGAATATTTAATGTGTTCAAATAGTACGGGAGAATTGAGAAGGAATTGGATCTTGGTGTAGTATATTGCTTGCGGAATCTTTAGAACTACTTTAAGTACAGTAGTTAGTAAAATAATAATGTAAATATTTCTGACAAAAAGTAGCCTAATCATGAGCTGGTATACCTACATTGCTGCAAAGGTTTGGTAGAGTGTGCGAAAGAATTACACGAATTAATTCCACCAGCCCCCTTCCATCATCGGGGAACCAGACGCAGGTTAGCGTACCATCCCTATATTGTTGACATTCCACCAGCTCGCACTAAGCGTTTCGATGACTCTTTTATAATGCGAACAGCTAGGGACTGGAATTCGTTGCCTGCTGCTGTCTTTCCCGAAAACTATAATCCGGGCCTCTTCAAGCCGAGAGTGAATAGGTAAGCACTTACAGGGCAGATATGTACCATCCTAGACTGCATCCCACTTAACATCAGGTGCGATTGTGGTCAAATACCTGCCTTGTTATGCATAAAAAAAAAGAGTCGAAGTCACGGGACGCTGAAATTCTTGAAGTTCTCTTTGAAGTAGTATCGATCGACATACGCCAAAACCAGCAAATGAAAACTAATATAGGTAAAACAGATTCGTCTGTAGGTCGAAGCGTCCTCTGCAGCTTATTCATTATAGGTAATGCAAATAGCAGGCGACGACTCCCACCATCGTATATCAGACAGGCAACGTCGTAAACGTAATAACATGATAATTGATATCAGAGCCTTTGACATCAACAAAAACGTTTTCGTGCCGCTCCCATACTGCACTGACTGGTTTAAGCGCCTTATTACCACCTTATTATAATACCTACGTTACTGTGATATTGTATCGTATTTATTTTATTTATTTATACTTTTGCACATAAAACTGTACAGTGGCGGATGCTAGTTGGTATTCTCTGCCAGTCAACCACAGGTCGAGCAGAGAGACTAAGGCGGTGCAATAAATATCGTATCTGTTAAGTCTTAAGTCTTCAGAAATCTGCTCAATTCTCTTCCATTGTGCAAGTAAGCCTATTTTAAGCCAATCGATACAGGTGCAAGTGCATCCCGCATTCCCGCCTCCCTCACACTGAGGCTTTTATAGAAATAGCGCGGCCCCGCACTCTTTGTCGGATTACAAGCGCTCGTATTGCCATGGCAACAGCCCTCCCCGCGCGAATCCGCGTTGTAAAATATATCCGCATATTAAAACTGCCTGTTTGATTATTTAACGTCTATCACTGCTAACTTTTATGAGCTTTGGTAGAGATACTACTGAACCTCGGAAAAGAATTCGAGGCTACGGCTACTTACGGTAAAATACGGGATGCAATAGTTTTATAATATCTCAAACTAGGGATATGAAAATTCGATTTAAACTTCAGGTTTTTCTGAAAATCTAATAGGTATGTATACAGGGTGGAATTTTGTAATGCCACCTGGAGGGAAAGTACTCTTAATATTGTAGATAGACATTTTTTCTCAAAGAAAACATTCCATTTTTGAAAAGAAATAGAACTGTATTCAAAGATTTCCAAAATATTGCTTGCCACACCCGGGAATCGAACCTACTAAAATCTGTTAAAAATTACACTCTGTATTTTTATTGCATCGATCGTTAGGGTCAAGTATAAGGATGAAATCTCTCTAACAAACTTGATAAATGAAATGAAAGGAAATCCATAAAATCTTAAATTATTTTAATTATGTACAGAAAAATTTATGGTATGGTAGTGAATTTTCGAAAGATTTTCAAAAATCTATGAATGCAGTTCTCTTTCTTATCAAAAATAAAGGAATGTTTTCTTTCAGTAAAATTTTCTATCTGCAGTATTAAGAGTACTTTCCCTCCAGGTGGCATTACAAAATTCCACCCTGTATAAGATTTCATCACTGTGTTTAATCACGACTCACGAGTCGTTATCTGAAATTCAGACAGGTGGAACCGCGGGCAGAAGCTGGTAGGTACGCAATTGAAATTGTGCTTATTCACAATTACTTTTTAATTTTACTTTCAGAGCAATGGTATCGATAATATCGATAGATATGGGACGCGTTAAAGATGTTCTATGTTGCAACATTAGCTATTCTCGAGAGACACATCGTGACCCGAGAGCTTGAGGACATAAAGATCGATTGTTCCTCTCAAGAGGCCGATCGGAATAGCTCTCAAGTTCTCAACCACCTCTACTAGACATACTAAACCTCTTCTAAATAACTATTTGAATAATAGTAGGTTTAATAGTATAGTTTTAGTAGCGTTTTACTCTTTCATTCAATCGTGATTCATATTTTGCGAATACGAACTACGAAATTACGATGATTCTCGTGGGAATGTTTAAGGGGGAAAATTAATAAACATTAACAAATACTAATGAACGAACGATTCGTAGTAATATTTAATAATTAAAGTGATGAAGGTGAATACACATACCACGTTGTGTGTTAACTAAAACTTCAAAAAACTTTAATTCACGTCCCCTAACGCCACTATAAACCTACTCGTCTTGCTGAAATTTATTTAAGTAGTTGTATACTTCCAATGGTACACGAAGTAAATGGACACCAGAATTAGTGTTCCTTTTATTCCGTGAAAAAAAAAAAGTTCTGGGCATACAAAAGTGCGCAATATCTAGGCAATCGTACTTATAAATCAAAGACAAAACGCACTTTTTGATCGAATCGAAAATCGAATCCGTCAAAACTCCATACAAAAAAGGGGCTTTTCGACCACTTTGCGACTGGTTTGCGATTATAATTTGCACTTTGTCTAGACCCACAGTATTGTTTACGAGTGCTATGTTTTCCCAACAGTTTACGCGGGAAAAGCACTGGCACCGCGCATGTCCCCCGACCGATCGATACTTACTTATGTCAACGAGACAGACATGAAGCCCCCAAGTCTTCGTTTGTTGTCTTATAACCTCATTAATAAGGTTGCAAATGCTTGCGATGCGAATACCGTAGTTCTTTTGTTTTGTGAGCAAACATGGAAGAATGTATAAAAAGAAGCGTTCCGCTACTGCAAAAAGGTATCTTATGAGCATTGCGGCATTGGGTACGTTTGATTGAATTAATTTTAACTGCAACGTTGAGTAGAAGATACTGAAGTATTTAGGAAAATGCTGGGTGTTACGATACGACTTTCTATGAATAGGACTGGTATTTCCCACATAGAAATAACATAGCATTTGTATTTATTTATACGTGTATTTCAGATTTCAAACGTTATTTCATGGTTTAATAAACTTAATTAAAGTGAAGTTACACCATAGAACAGTTAGTATTTAATTCAAACAATCGCAAACGCAACTACGGAAAGACTTACTGGCACTGGTTTGATAAAAAAAAATCCGAGAAACGACAAAGCGAGTATGGCGATGAACATTGTAGTGAGGGGTGCGCCTGCTGCGTCATGGGGCTCCCATCATCAGCGCCGGGCGGTCGGGACAGCGAGGCGCGGGCCCCGCAGCAATCGGCCCGAGCTACTCCGAGCGCGACATTCGGGCGCCATCTGTGCTCGAAGGATCGCGCGGAACTAACCCTCCTTGCAACGGAGTGTGGCCACCTCAGATGTTTTTTACCCTAACGTTTGGCGAATTTACCCTAAAGGTTCGGCCAAATCTAAGCGATGAGCCGGCGTGCATCGATGGCGATCAATGCATTTAAGTCTTTAAGTCTGATCGCCATCGCTGCACGCCGGCTGATCGCGTTGGTTTGGCCGAACCTTAAATTATTTTTTTATCTTATTAAAAAAAAAAAACAAATCAATGTACTTAATTACTACTTATTATAAACTAATATCTTAACTACTTCACGGTTTCCAAACATTCTTGGAATGTGTCCATAGTAGGTCATAGAAAATTCATCTGCAGTATTTCATTGGACGTACTTAAGTTTCATTGGAACATTTTAATATTTAAATACCCTAAATGCGTAAAAATACCCAAAATTTGGGGTAAATAACCTAAGGTGGGGACACTGCAGCGGACACCCGCCGACCAACCTAACCTGACCCCCGCCCCCTCCCCTCCAGCCGTCGGAAAATGTGAAAACTCGCATGCGGATCTCTCGCACTGCTGGATTTTTATTCCAAGTCCTTGTTACACTGGGAGAAAGACGATAATGGTATGCCAAGTAGGTCAGTGTTGACAAACGCAATATTGTATCATGCGGAGAATAATGTAAACAGTAAGTAGGTGGGTTCGTGGGATGCCTTCATGTTGCGTATACATGTGAACGACTCATAAAAACTGGACGAGGGGTTGAAGAAAATTCACGACTGCTGTCGTATAGAAATCTACGGGTAGTGGGTACCTATATGCAGTGATTAAACATGTATTTCTGAACACAGGTCATCGGTAGTGTCATGACCTATCGCCTCGACTATTGGCCTATTTTCTGTTTTTATACCAATCAATACCTACATGGAGACTTCACTTAAATTTGATTTGTGTACTTATTTGAAACATCGACATGCGATAGATATTTTATTAACCAAAATCGACTCTATCTACTACTTTAGAAAAAAATAACTTATTATCTTAGCAAATTACGATCAAGATTAACTTTTGCTTGTACTTACTCACAACTTGATAGAATGTGTATTACTTGGAGCACGGCCAAGTAGGATTCCCTGATGTATGCGTAAGAACGTGAATTACTTCGAGGAAAACGTGAATTTAGCTTGGCACACTCCACATTGGCCTGGATGAGAAACATTCCCGCCAACTTGACGACTGCCGCAGACAAGCAACAAATAACAAACGAGCGATTTTACTCTCAACTTCGGCCTTGGTACAGTTGAGACTAAAAGTACGAACAAAAATACTGGGCGACCACAAAATTATTTAGCCCCTCGTCGTCGTCATCGTTTCAGCCAAATGACGTCCACTGCTTTACAAAGCTGCTCCTTAAGAGCATTTGACGATTTGCAAGAACTAATTTAATTAGTCTAAACAAATAAAGAAAATTTTGATTTTGAAAGGCCTCACCAAGGTTTTCCACAATGAACGGCCCTGCGCTGCCCGCATCCAGGCTCTTCCCGCGACCTTTACCAGATCGTCGGTCCACCTAGTAGGAGGCCTGCCCACGCTACGTCTTCCAGCCCGTGGTCGCCACTCGAGAACCCGTATTCACAAACATTACTATGAGGTCTCACAGTGCGCGTGGACGCACAGGGTGGCACACGAACCAATTACAAGAGCTCTATTCAACGCTGTGCGTTAGATTTGCTGCTTCACTTATCTAGTAATCTTCTATTCAGTTAGATATAATCTTTTACAACTTTCGATTTTGTTAATAATATTTTAAACAACTTCGATCGAGCTACGCGGCTACGCGTGAAAGTGACGCTATACTGAAATTTCGTAGCGCAAGTTCATAACTTCGTAGCGCAATTTCGTAACTTCGTAGCGTAAGATCGTAACGCATTGCTTGCTACGGGCCCAGCTACGACCCGTAGCCGTAGCCGGGAGTGGGTCGTAGTAAATCTTACACGTGTTTGTTACGTATTGTGTAGGCCTGTAGGCATTGTCAACTTTTTTGTGTATTTTTGATCCTTTTGAATCTTTTTAAATTCAAATAAAGTAAATAAATATAAATTTAAAAAGAGGTGTATCAAACAATATACCGCCCACGTAGAAATGGTATAAATTATAAATGGTAGGGTACATAGTTACAACAATAACTTGTTTACAGTTTTTATTTAATAACATGTAAAAAAATATCATACATTCAGCTTAGAATAGTTGTGTAATCTGAAAGACATTTTGAATCACAGTTAGGCGATTATCACACTGCGCCGCGCTCCGCCGCGGTACGCGGGACGACAGATTTAATAATTGTATGCAAGTAGGTACCTCAGTTTGTATAGAAAACACGCGCGGCACAACACACTGACAACGCGTCTGCGCGCGGGATTTTTTATATGAAATCACGCGCTCCGCGGCGGATCCTTATCGCTCGCGCATTATTATGTTGCTGTTGCGGTCGCACACTCACTGCGGGCGCCCGTCGCACAGTCGCGACAGTAATATAGTAAGATAAGTAACTCTTACATTTCTATCTGACTATTAATTAAGCTTACATTCATTGGCATCAGGTGCAGAGAGGGGTGAGGACCGTTCCGTCTTGAGTTGGCAGGCATATGTGGAGTACACCTCTGGAAACAGGTTGTCACAGCTGCTGTTGTCATCAGAAGACAGCGGGTCTATTCCTGTCACACAGCTTATATCCTGGGTTGGAAGAAAAAGACTAAAAAATGCTATCTAAAATGCAAGTCAATTAAGAAAAATCCTGCAAGATGAGTAAGGCTGGGTGGCACCAATTTACTTTAACTTTGGCAACGTCAGAAATCTGTCAAAAACCATACAAAAACACCTGTCATCGTTAAAGTTACGGTCAAAGATTGGTGGTGCAATTCAGCCCAATGGAAAAAAGCTTACAATGCCTATGGGCTTGGTTTCTGGGATGTCCTCAGAATAAAGTGCCAGCAAACGTAATTCCAAGTCGCTTAGCTCCTGGCTTATATTTACTTTCATTGCTTTTCTCTTTGTTTTGTTCTTGAAGTCTCGCAGGGACTGAAAATAAGAGGATAATATTAATAAAAAGTAAGTACTGTACTGCTTTTTAGAATTCTTAGAACTTAATAATGAACTACATACCTACAAATATTTTTAAAATTGAAAATACAGATGACTTTGCTATGTTATATGAGATTTTTATTGGATAAAAAGATAAGTAAGCTAAACTACAACAAATAGTTTAATTAATTATGATCATATCCAGTTTCAATCAGTGAATTAGCACAAAAACAAAGTTTACATACCTGTTGCCACTTGGTTACATTTTTGAGATCGCCACTTTCAATAGAGTTAAGTTTCCTGGCCAAGACTTCCCAGCTTGGCAGCCGCCGCATTCCTGTTGGGCAGTCGGCCAGAGAGTAAAGACCGATCTTTTTCCAACGCTTCCACCAGAATTTGGAGTTGTTCTGAAGAAACTATCTTTCTATCTTCGGACATTTTTTACAACTTGTTGATCACTCTTTAAAAAGAAAGTACTAAAATAATGGATACAGTAGTGTGTTAGACTTAGTTTCTACACAATAAATAAATCTTTACACCAATTTTTAACAAAGAAACACTAAAAAACACTACCGCGAAATAACTTTATTTTTATTTTGACACATTTGACAGATTGACAACAGCACATATCACTCAGTCAGAGAGTCTCTGCACTCAGTGAAATAATCGAAATATAAAAAAATATAATAAAATAAAAATCAAAATTTCTACTTCACAACTGTAATCACAAGATCACACAAGATAACAATAACTTACATGGCCAAAATAATAACTAATGCTGAGCACAAGAATGTTAAAAAATTCAAGTAGGTAGATAGATTCGGACCGTTAGCTGCTTGATAGAGCTGTCAAGTGTCATGCTCCCCCCCTCCCCCTTTCCCAGGCCAGCTGGTGAGTTGTCAAAAAAGGCGAGTGAAAAATAGGGAAAAAATTCGATTTGTACAGTCTTTTCTAAATTAGATGGTCGATCTGAAATAATTGGCAGTCATGCGCTTGGTGGTGGTGATACTTGTGGCGCTGGCGAGCGGCGCGGCGGCGTGGGACGATGGGGATCTCGAAGTATTCGACGTGGTGGAAGAAGTTAACCAGAACTTCTATGAGCTGATGGGAGTTGCACAGGTAGGGTTCTAATTGTGTTCTTACACGTTCTATTGATTAGATGCAAGTGTAATTATAGGAGTGAAGCGTATATAGCTCTAGTATTTTGTTTTACAAAACTGGCAATTTGTTCAAATATTTTTAACCATTCATTAGATTTACTTAGGCAGATTTTAACTAAGACTTCCATTAATTATTTATCTATATCAGATTAACACGATAACAGTTCATGATTAATTGAGAACAAACCTTTATGAATGACTTTACTTTTCTAACTTCATACATTTATTTTGTTACAGGATGCAACCCCATCAGAAATAAAGTCGGCATTTAAGAAATTAACATTGAAATTGCATCCAGATAAAAATGATTCTCCTGATGCTGATGTCCAGTTTAGGAACCTGGTATCTGTTCACAATATTCTCAAAGATCCAGGAAAGAGAGAAAAGTGAGTACTTTTTGTCAATTTACTAAGATTTCTAAACTATTATTTAGACCTTTTATTTTACAAGTTTTTAGACAGACGCATATTTGCTGGACTTTCATTTCATACTTATGAATTTTTTAGGTATAATGATGTCCTCAAGAATGGTCTACCAAATTGGCGTTCTGCCATTTATTATTACCGACATGTACGAAAGATGGGCCTGGCGGAAGGATCCATCATTTTGTTCATCATCATCTCATTTGGGCAATACGCTGTCGGCTGGGCTGCTTATGCTGAGAAGAGGTTTACAGCTGTAAGATGTGTTTTATTTGTTTTTAATAAAAAGTTATGCAATTTATACATTTTTACCAAGTTGAACTTGTGTCTTTCTTGATAAAGTATTTCAGAATCCATATTATCAATGCTGCTGACAGCTGCAGACAGCTTCATATTATTACAAGCTTTTATTTTAATTTTGTTTTATTTTAGGAGCAAATACTAAACAGTAGGGGAAAGAAACATTCAAAGAAATCTGGGTTTGATGCTGGACTGGCAGAGATATTGGAACAACTGCCGAAGCCAAGTGTAAAAGATACGCTGCCCTTCCAAATACCGAGGTTCATCTGGTGGTCCATTACAGCCATCCCTCTAGGCATAGTGGAGCTCAAGAGGAGGGCTGCGGAGAGGCAAGAAGAGGAAAAAAGACAAAAGAAACGGTAAGTGTCTAGACATATGGAAAAGATGCAAAGAATTACATTAATTACCGACAGTATTTGTTGACACAAGTGTAAAAACGTAGTAATTAATTTCTCACAAGTAATTAAGTTAATTGTTTTATGTACCAATTAGTATTTTAAATACATGGTTACAGTTCAATGAATTCATTATAAAACAAAACTGTGAAACTGTAAGCCCTATTGTTCAAATTGTTTTCAAATTATAATACCTATGTAGTGAAGTATTTAAAAAAATTTAACAAGTTAGGAATCGGTAGTCCGACATCGACATAATGGTTGCCTAAAATTAACGGGACTATTCCCACCTCTCGTTCCCACCGCTGCAACTCCTGTGTAGCCAGGATCTACAGCTTAAACATACATAGAAATATTTTTAAAATCGAAAATACAGATGACTTTGCTATGTTAACCACCAGTAAAAACCCAACCAATGAAATAACATTAGTCTACATTCTTAAACAGGGAAGAAGAAGAGCGCCTCCGAGCCGAACGCGAGGCGGCCGAAGCGGCGAGCCGGCCCTCGGGCGGGGCCCGGCGGCGGCGGGGCTTCGAGCCGCCGGCGCGGGACCACTGTCTACTTGACGCTGCCGATGCGCCGGAAGACGCGCCTGTGCCCGTGCCTATTAAGCCTGTGAGTACACTTGCTAGGCCTAGGCCAGCAGGGCTACTACGAAACTCTGTTTACGTAGTTTGGGATCTATCTGTCACCGTCGCTCATACTGACATCTCGCTTTGCGTGAGAGGGATGGCAACATTAGAAACTTCGGATGACGTTTTTCGGAGTAACCCCGCAGGCGGCGGGGCTTCGAGCCGCCGGCGCGGGACCACTGTGTAATGGACGCTGCCGATGCGCCGGAGGACGCGCCTGTACCCGTGCCTGTTAGGCCTGTGAGTACACTTGCTAAGACGCGACTTGACAACTGTTGCGTCTCCGTGCCGAGCGCGAGGCGTGCCTGTCAGGCCTGTGAGTATACTTGCTGTGGCGAGACTTGACAAATGTTACGGCCAGGCGGCGGCGGGGCTTCGAGCCGCTGGCGCGGGACCACTGTCTTCTTGACGCTGCTGACGCGCCGGAGGACGCGCCTGTGCCCGTGCCTATTAAGCCTGTGAGTACACTTGCTGTGGCGAGACTGAGCGCCTCTGACCCAAACGCGAGAGGTAGAGGCGGCGAGCCGGCCAACGGGCGTGACGCGCCTGACCCGTGCCTGTTAGGCCTGTGAGTACACTTGCTGTTGCGACTTGACAAATGTTGCGGCTCCGATCCGAACGCGAGGCGGCCGAGGCGGCGAGTCGGGGGCCAGCAGGGCTACTACGAAACGCTGTTTACGTAGTTTCGGATCTATCTGTCACCGTCGCTCATACTGACATCTCGCTTCGCGTGAGAGGGTTGGCAACATTCGAAACTCCGGATGACGTTTTTCGGAGTAACCCCGCAGGCGGCGGGGCTTCGAGCCGCCGGCGCGGGACCACTGTCTACTTGACGCTGCCGATGCGCCGGAGGACGCGCCTGTGCCCGTGCCTGTCAGGCCTGTGAGCACACTGTGATGACTAGGGTTGCCAGGTCCAAAACACAAAAGCCGGACTCTGTGCTTCAAAAGCCGGACATGTCACATGGTGCAATTGCCAATTAGTGTCATAGCTCACGAGTGAATACTATCATCATCGGTTGCCCAACATCCTGATACGTGCGCTTGACTTTATACTGTGACTCGACTTTTCGAAAAAGCGGGACAGGCCGGACAAGAACATAAAAAGCTAACCCTAGCGATGACGCGACTGAGCGCCTCCGTGCCGAGCTTGCTGTGGCGAGACTTGACAAATGTTGCGGCCCGGCGACGGCGGGGCTTCGAGCCGCCGGCGCGGGACCACTGTCTACTTGACGCTGCCGATGCGCCGGAGGACGCGCCTGTACCCGTGCCTATTAAGCCTGTGAGTACACTTGCTATGACGCGACTTGACAACTATTGCGTCTCCGTGCCGAGCGCGAGGCGTGCCTGTCAGGCCTGTGAGTACACTTGCTGTGGCGAGACTTGCCAATGTTTATTTTACTATTGCGAGACTGTGTTTTTGTTTAAAAGCCAAACCCAATATTGCTATTTCCTGTTCTTGTATTTGATACACTGAAATTGAAGCTTATCAATATTTAAATAGGTACATAATAACTACTATATTCTACAGTGAAATATGGGAATAGCGACTGATAACTGTTTAGCCTAGGCGCAGATCATCGATTTTTCGTCGGGCGATAGTTGAGTCGGGTAATTGAATTGTATGGGCATGTATGGAAGTGCGTACATTACACCGATTTGATTTGGCCGATGCTTCATACAATTTAAAATCGGCACAACTATCGGCCAATTAAAAATCGGTGGTCTGTACCTAGTCTAAGTCGTAGCTTTTTCATTTTACGTCTCGACTCAGATTGCGTCCTTGTTTCATTGTTGAATAATTAATGGAGCAATCTTGCCCAATTTTGATTTGATTCGTTCACCGCTCCGATTTATCACGTAGCTTTAATTTAATCTTGCTCAAACATTCTTAGCGCAAGACTTGTTGTTGAAATCAGTGGGGCCTTTACCTAGCAGTGGATGTCGTTTAATTGAAATAACTTCTTCTTTCCCTAGCCTAGCTGGGGTTGGCTCTCCTTATTCCGAGGCGCATTATTTTGATTGACATAACAAAGGCACATTATTTAATTATTTTACTCTATCGCATTGGGGTAATAACACATAGGCTATAATTTATGACGATACTAGCTTTTGCCCGCGGCTTCACTCGCGTGAAATTTATTTTGTCACAGATCGTCATAAATTATAGCCTATATGTTAATCTGGGTTATAAACAATAATACTGTAAAGTTTCAACAAAATCCGTTCAGTAGTTTTTGCGTGAAAGAGTAACAAACATCCAGACATCCACACAAACTTTCGCATTTGTAATATTAGTAGGATGTGACAAACTAAATTTCACGTGGACGAAGCCGCGGGCGGAAAGCTAGTAATAATTAAATTAATCAATCTCCCCAGGCGCCGCCGGTGATCAGCGGCGGATTATGGACCGACGACGACCTAGCCGAGTTAGTCCGGCTCGTCAAGAAGCACCCACCAGGCGCGCCCGAGCGCTGGGAGCACATAGCTAGTGCTATGGGCCGCAGCGTGCCCGAGGTCACGCATATGGCGGCGAAACTCAAGGAAAACTGCTACAAGGTGCCTGGACAAGAGGCGAGCGAGCCGGCGCCTGTTGAGCCGCCTAAGAAGGTATGTTTAGTGACTTTGTTCTTTATAACTGCCACCTTTATAGCTCATAGTCATATGCCGCCATGGGCCATAGCGTAAGGTCACGCACATGGCGGCGAAACTCAAGGAGAACTGCTACAAGGTGCCTGGACAAGAGGCGAGCGAGCCGGCGCCTGTTGAGCCGCCCAAGAAGGTACGTTTATGATCAGTGAATTTGCTTTAAAGTTTGGTCTTTGTAGCTCACAGTCATCTTCTGATATGGGCCGCAGCGTGCCCCAGGTCACGCACATGGCGGCGAAACTCAAGGAGAATTGTTACAAGGTGCCTGGGCAAGAGGCGAGCGAGCCGGCGCCTGTTGAGCCGCCTAAGAAGGTATCTACGTTTAGTAACTGTTTCAATTTGTCCTTTATGACCATGGGCTATAGCGTCCCGAGGTCACGCATATGGCGGCCAAGCTCAAGGAGAACTGCTACAAGGTGCCTGGACAAGAGGCGAGCGAGCCGGCGCCTGTTGAGCCGCCTAAGAAGGTATGTTTAGTGACTTTGTTCTTTATAACTGCCACCTTTATAGCTCATAGTCATATGCCGCCATGGGCCATAGCGTAAGGTCACGCACATGGCGGCGAAACTCAAGGAGAACTGCTACAAGGTGCCTGGACAAGAGGCGAGCGAGCCGGCGCCTGTTGAGCCGCCTAAAAAGGTATGGTTTAGTGACTTTGTTCTTTATAACTGCCACCTTTATAGCTCATAGTCATATGCCGCCATGGGCCATAGCGTAAGGTCACGCACATGGCGGCGAAACTCAAGGAAAACTGCTACAAGGTGCCGGGACAAGAGGCAAGCGAGCCGGCGCCTGTTGAACCGCCTAAAAAGGTATGTTTAGTGACTTTGTTCTTTATAACTGCCACCTTTATAGCTCATAGTCATATGCCGCCATGGGCCGCAGCGTGCCCGAGGTCACGCATATGGCGGCCAAGCTCAAGGAGAACTGCTACAAGGTGCCCGGGCAAGAGGCGAGCGAACCGGCGCCTGTTGAGCCGCCTAAGAAGGTATGATCAGTGGATTTGCTTTAGAGTTTGATCTTTGTAGCTCACAGTCATCTTCTGATATGGGCCGCAGCGTGCCCGAGGTCACGCATATGGCGGCGAAACTCAAGGAAAACTGCTACAAGGTGCCCGGACAAGAGGC